ATAATATTTAAGTGGCTTTTGCCAGAAGGAATGCTTATTTCCTGGCAAGGGAGGAAAATCAAAATCGATTGTGTAAGCGATGCCCAAGACTTCCTAGAGCAATTAAGGGAGGTGAAGAGGAACAAATTAGTAAGGAGGAAAACGAAATAGTAAATACGGAAGAAGAGACATCTCAAGAACAAATCACAACAGAAGATATAGAAGAGGAGAAGAAAAAGGAAGACACAGAAGAAAGGGGGAAAAAAATAGACCAGTGAGAGCAGTAACTTTAAAAGGTAAATAAGAACCAGAGACTAGAGAACAGTTACAGGAATGAACGATACTAAGATCTTATCGTTAAATGTGAACGGTTTAAATGATTACAAAAAAAGGAGGATAGTATTGTCGAAATTGGCGAAACAAAATCCCGACATAATTTGTATCCAAGAGGTCCACATAAAAAAAGAAGAAGCCAACTATTTAAATTATACTAAATTTGGTAAAGTATTCTTTTCATTAGCTGAGAAAAGAAAAAGGGGGGTGGCTATCTATGTTAAGAAAGGAATAGAGGCAGAATGTAAATATAAAGATGAAAAAGGGAGAATAGTTATAGTAGAAATAACGAGAGGTAATTCTAAGGTGTTATTGGTTGGGGTTTATGCCCTGAATAAAAAACAAGGGAAATTTTACCGGAAATTACATGAACAGCTGGCAAATTGGGCAAATTACAAAATATGTATGTTAGGGGACTTTAATGGAATAATAGATCCAAAATACGATTACAAATGTGATATAACTAAAAAGAATAAAAGATCTCCCTTACCAAAGTCCTTTTTTGATTTAGTGGACGAGATAAATCTAGTTGATATGTGGCGTATCCTATACCCCCATGACAGACAATTTACTTTCTATTCAATGCCACAAAACTCTTGGTCTAGAATAGATATGGTCTGGGCTACCAGAAAACTGGGCCTAGAAATTAAAAAGGTCAACATGTGCATAAATGCTTGGGCAGACCATAAGTTCCTTGAAATTAGCTGGCACCACGATACAAAGAAAATACAACAGAGATGGAGCCTAAGGACTAAGCTGCTATATGAAGAAGAGTTTATACTGAAGTTGAATGAAGAAGTCAAACGCTTCTTCATAGAAAATGGAAACCGAGAGACAGCCAAAGAAATTGTGTGGGACACTATGAAGGCGTATGTGAGAGTGGTTGCCATCTCATATGCCGCCTTCAAAAACAAGGAAAAAAGAAAGGCTAGAGAAGAGCTCACTAATAAGTTATCGCAAGCTGAAGATAAACTCCAGCAATGCCCAGGAGATGAGGTGATTAAACAACAGTGGTCGATGACGAGACATAGATTGAATTTACTGGACCAAGAGGAAATGGCGCAAAAAATAAAAAGAACCAAGCATTATTGTTTTGAGAACGCTAACAAGTCAGGGAGATGGCTGGCATATAAACTAAAAAAAGAGAAGGAAAAAAATCAAATATTAGTATTAGAAGACTCCCAGGGTAATTTGCTGACGAAGGAAGAAGATAAATTGGAGAGTATAAGAAAGTTTTATGAAGGCTTATATAAAAGTGAAGGAATTGCGTCAAGCAAGGTAGAACAGTACCTGTTGGATGCTAATCTACCGTTAATCCCGGAAGAAGAAAAGGAAAGGTTAAATGAAAAGATCACTATAGAGGAATTAAAAATGGCCCTTTCTAAAATAAAGAAGAATAAAACTCCAGGCCCAGATGGTCTTCCCGGGGAATTATACCAAAAATTTGATGACGCCCTAAAATTAGAGTTACTAGAAATACTGAATGAGGCCCTGGCGGGTATCACAATTCCAGATTCGTGGAGGGAAGCGTATTTGACGCTTATTTTGAAAGAGGGTGCCGACCCGAAACAGATATCCAACTACAGACCTATCTCATTGTTGAACGCAGATTATAAACTGTTCCTGAATATAATTGCGGAAAGGTTCAAAAACATTTTAAATCGGTGGATACACAAAGATCAAAATGGCTTTCTCCCAGGGAGACAGATCAGAGATAATCTGAGAATAGTTTTAAACACCTTTGAATACTACGAACAACATCCTGAAAAACAGCTGGCCTTAATGTTTGTCGATGCCCAAAAGGCATTCGACAACTTGAATTGGACGTTTATGATAAATCAAATTGACCTAATGGGATTCGGTACTAACTTTAGGAAGATGATTGAGAATATCTATAAAAACCAGAGGGCAAATATACTAGTGAATGGAGACAGAACCCAATTGTTCCAGATTCAAAAAGGAGTGAGGCAGGGATGCCCCCTGTCTCCCTTATTATATATTTTGGCGCTAGAGGTGCTACTTAGAAAAATAAGAGCTAACAATGATATCAAAGGATTAAAGATTAGGAACGAATTATTCAAAACCCAAGCTTTTGCTGACGATGTAGCCCTCATAATGGAAGACCCATTAGAATCCGGTGGAAAATTAATGCAGGAAATACAGGAATATGGAGAGGTGGCGGGCCTTAAACTCAATAAGGATAAAACTAAACTATTAGTGAAAAACATGACAGACCTTCAAAAGGAAGAATTGGAAGATTTATTAGGCTTCCAGACAGTTAGGAAAATAAAATACTTGGGAATATGGATCACCGCAAGATTCTCCTCATTAAAAGATGATAACTATATCCCCCTTCTGCAGAAAACACACCAAGATCTTGAAAGATGGAAATAGCTCAAATTGTCTCTGATTGGTAAAATTGCAGCGATTAAAATGAATATCCTACCAAAAATTTTGTTCCTATTCCAAAATATTCCGTTATCTTTAGATAAAAAATTCTTCTTGGACCTGAACAAACATATCAGGAATTTTCTGTGGGAGGGCAAGAAATCGCGGATTTCTTTTAAGATACTCCAAGGGAAAAGGAATTTGGGAGGTTTTGGGCTCCCTGACTATATCAAAAGGCGGCAAAAATAATCTGGATTAAGGAGTGGATCAAGTTACAAGATAGGAGAACCCTGACCTTGGAAGGACATGACCTTCTAGAAGGATGGCACTCCTACCTTTGGGATATAAAGAACAAGAAAAAATCCTATTTTCATAAACATAAAATTAGGGAGACCCTTATTCACACGTGGGTCGAAATTAGACAGAAGATCTATACGAAAGTACCCAACTGGCTTTCCATCATGGAAGCGTTGGCGGCACCAAACAGGAGAGATGAGTACAAATGGGGTACATACAAGGATATCCTCGATGAAGAAGGGAAACTTAAATCATTGGATCTATTGAGAGATCAGGGCCTAAACTTGGATTGGTGGAACTATTTTCAGATCAACTCAAGATTCCAAAAAGACAGAGACAAATTTGGTATAGCAGCGAAATTTGGGAACTTTGACAAAATTATTTGGGGAACAGATAAGAAAATGTTATCGAAAATCTATAACTTTCTATTAGATGAAGATAGGGCAGAGTCCATAGCAAGAAATCAACTGAACATCTGGGAAATAAATCTAGGACATAGACTAAATTTTAATGATTGGGAGATAGCTTGGAATAGAAACTACAAAATAACTAAATCGACAACGTTTAGGGAAAATCATTACAAATTGTTACACAGGTGGTATCTAGCCCCAGCGAGGCTAGCCAAGATGTTTCCAAATCTCTCTCCCACATGTTGGAAATGTGGAAAAACGGTCGGCACCTTCTACCACCTATGGTGGACCTGCCCTGAGACTAAAAAGTTCTGGTCCAAAATCCGACACTGGCTCTGTGAAATAACGGGACAGGAGGTAGACCTAGCCCCAGAGCTTTTCCTCCTAGGCATAACCGAAGAAGGCTTTAATAACAACAAAACCCAACTGATAATCCAGATTATAACTGCGGCTAGATTAGCTTTCGCAAAATGCTGGAAAAACAAACTTATGCCCTCAGAAGAAACTCTAATAAATAAGATCCTAGAGTGCGCAGAAATGGCGAAACTGACAAGTGAGTTAAAAAACGAGGACAACTCAAAATATTATGACGTATGGGGTATTTGGTATCACTGGTTGAACAATAAGACGAAAACATGACTATAGAATTTGACTTGGCACATGTATTATAGTTGTATTGTATAAAATAATGTATAGTTAAGGATGAAGTCTTTTTTTAACTTTTGTTTCACTATATTGTATAAACACTGCACCTCCGAAAGGAGAGATAGATTGTATATTTTCTTTTTTGTTTTAGAAAACTCAATAAAGCATTTAAAAAAAAAAAAAGTGTGCCTATATGTTATCTTTGTTTCTTTTTGATGTATTCATTTCCTGTGAGATTGAGTCATCTTTCAAATTGGAAAGAGCTTAATCGTCTGGTAGCTACTTTATTTTGCAGCAAAGCCAGGAAGTGAGATTATAGAAATTCAACCTTTTCATTTTGACTATTAATTGCCAGAAAGACAGTACTGAGTGATGTGAGAGTCCCATCTTTCTTGCATATTAATGTTACTGGAAAGATGTCTCCTTTCTAGATGCTACTTGGAAGATAGGCAACAACCCCAGAAATTTCCAAGCTACTATATCAGAGCAGGATATGGAACCAGGTTATGAGGACACAGAAGTTTTGGCCAGAAGAGATGGGATATTCCACCCTGTGGGACTCAGCAATCACCATAACATATAATACAATATAATATAATGCAGTATCTAAATATTTCAGACCAACTTGAAAATGAGGGCTGAATTTATGAAAGGTATGAGCCCCAAAATTGCATTTGCAAGATCTCCCTAGTTGTATTTTTATGGATCTCATAATAAAGAGGCCAGATGCTTAGCTGGCATTCTAGAAACTAATATGCCATTTAATTACAATGTAGCATTGTGATGAGATTTCTATGATTTTTGGCTTCATAAAATTTAAAGCTTACATGGGTGCAGACAAACATGAGAATATTTTAGTATTAAATGTAATATTAATATTAAACTGGAAAGCAACTTAAAGTTGAAATATAAATATACATGAAATATACATATTTAGATTAGCCTTACCATTAAACACTCTTGTAACCCATCGAGCCTGAAGTTCCACTGCTGGTAGAATAGATCCCGTTACTGATATAAAACCTATGAAGGCAAGTGTGGGCTTTTGCAAGTGAGGAGGGAATACTTGTTTATAAAGGAATGTACTACTTTTACAAACATTGCGAACCGATTCTTCCAGGAAGAGAAATGAAGCAGCATAGCCTGTAGTAAAAATGACCACATCTATATTTTCTTCTACAGTTCCATCTTCAAATATGGCAGAAGTCTCAGTAAACTTCTTCACATTTGGCTTTACAACCACTGAACCACAGAGGATGCAGCTGGGCAGTTCGTCATTTATAATGACATATGTCAATGAGCTGATGGAAAGAACAAAAGTAGAAAGAAGCACTGTTAGGTCAACTATCCCCATTAGCCTAGTCCATTTTCAGGTACTACCCTATTTTGCTTCTGAAAGACTTATATTGACTCACACTGCACAGACAAAAAAAATGTCAGCATACCTTTTTACTTCCACCACCTTCCTTAACTACTTGCCTGGATATTAAATAATTTCAAATGTTGGCTAGTTCTTCAATTGGTAGAATTAGATAGAAGATAGCAGGATTTTGATCCTAGTCTGGCTTGCCATCAACTGCTACAGAAATTTCTTTCTCCTCCTATTTTTATCTCAGATTTCAGTATGGCTAGGCATAGATTATCCTCCAAATGAGATATGAGAAGTGACCCTAGTTAAGTAGTTGTCTGGCTAGTTAATCAGCAGATGGGCAATCAAGTTGTTAACAGTGTAGGAAGTTAGCACCCACCCCTCTCCTAGGAAAATGAGATATTTTAGGAAATATTAAAAGGGCAGAATGGGAGGCAGAAACCCAGCCCCCCACCTTTGTTAATGGGCCATTAAGGCCTGGGCCAGTCTATTCTACATAACAAAGATCTACCTCCTTCAGGCAGAGCTATAATAGGAATCCCAAAGCCCTTTCATATTACATCATAACCGAGCAAGAGTCAACCAAATTAGGGACTCAGGATAGCCTACAGAGTTGCCCCTGCATGGCCCCATGGGAGTCTGACAACCAATCAGAATACAAGCTCAAATTCAAAAGCCCAGAGAGGGCATAAAACTGGGGCACTCTCAGTATCTCTTCCCTTTTTCCCCCCAGGACCTCAAACCATGTGCTCCTGTCCACGATTAAAAACCATATTTCCAAGCAGTCTCCTTGTTTCCAGTGTCTTTCTTCCCCACTTGAAACTGAACGCAGATGGACATTTCTTCCAACAATTGATCAGCCTGAATCAGCCTGGGTGATAGATTTGGTACAGGAGCCTATAGGTATAATCTCTTCAGTTCTAAAATTTCTAAATTCATTTCTTTTAATCATCAATGTGCAAATGATACTCTGCTTTTAATGTCTCTTGTAACTGAGCTAGTGTTCAGTTCAACAATCTGTTTTTCTGAGAAAGCAAAAATAATTGTGTGTATCGTAAGCAACAAGTTGCCCAATATGGATTTGAGAATTCTCCAGAAACATAGTTCACAGATCGCTTTGGGAAAAGGCTCAAGAATCAGTAAATAGTCTAACTAGCGATTTTAACAGTATATATTTCCCTTGAGGAGGGGAAGTTTGTTAACAATGCACTGGGAAAAAAATTTTGGCAACAGACTTGCAAATAGCAAATTAGTTTTTACTTACTAGCAGACTTCATCTTTTCTAAGCTCAGCATTTTGGCAAATACAATGTAATGCATAGTAAAAGAGATTACCTTTTAATAGGGATCAATCCATAATTCTTATGGTTAAACCATTGATTGAATTTCTTTGCCAATAACTTGTCCCTAATGCTGACAGGAAGAAGTCCTTGAATGAAGGATAGAAATCGAGTTTGGAAGACCATATCATTAGGCCAGCCGGCTTTTGACATCCGACTTAGTACCCAGGCTCCATTTCTGGTGCTGAGAAAGACCTAAGGGGCGAAAAACTGAAAAGAGCATTCCTAGGAACTCTCCAACTACTGGTGAATGGGAAGTGATCTAGTCTAGCAGTAAAAGGCAAAAAGGAGGTTAAATCCTTTGGTAAGATAGACAGCATTATTAATACATTCAAAATAAAAACATTAAAACAGTATCCAATGGAGGCACATAGTATGGAAGAGCAATATTATATCAGGCTTACAACTAAGGATGTGAGAATAATATGACCTAATAATGCATAACCGATAAGAGGCTACAGAATATGGCAAGCTAAAAACTTTTGGCAATATTTTCAAGAAAGAATTAGAAAGCAGTGCAAGACGGGCAATAATTCCGAAATACATTACAGGTAGTTCTCGACTTACGACCAAATTTCTGTTGTTAAGCAAGACAGCTCTCAAGTGAGTTTTGTCCCATTTTACAATCTTTCTTGCTATAGTTATTAAATGAATCACTGCAGTTGTTAAATTAGTAACATGGTTGTTAAGTGAATCTGGCTTCTCCATTGATTTTGCTTGTCAGAAGGTTGCAAAAGTTGATCACATGAGCCCAGGACATTGCAACCGTCATAAATATGAACCAGTTCCCAAGCATCCAAATTCTGATCACCTGACCATGGGGATGATGCAATAGTCATAAGTGTGAAAAATGGTCATAAGTCACTTTTTTCAATGTCATTGTAAATGAATGGTCACTAAACAAATGGTTGTAAGCAGTGGTGGGATTCTGCCGGTTCTAGGGGGTTCGGTGTTTTTTTGTAATGTTATTGGCCCGCGGAGCTTCAGCATAGGCTAATTAGCCCTTGCTTAGATCGGCTCCCGAATCTCAGCTGATTTGCTCTCAGCTGTTTTGTTCAGGGCTCTGCTGCTTGCTTGCAAAGAGTGCTGATTTTCTTTCCCCTATCTATGCTGAAAAACGAAACAGAAAGTAAAGCAGGCTGTTGGCTTTGCTGTTGTTGCAACGTTGGAAAATTAGGCAGGGAGAGATTTCTTTTTCTTTTTGCTCACCAAAAAAGGTAGGTGCAAACAATGGGAAATTTAGGGAAAAAGAGGAGAGTTCAAGATTTTAAAACACAAAAGAAAAAAAGCTCTATTTAACTAGGGAATTGTAATAATTGAGATACTATTAATTGTATATTGTGTTGAAAGCAGAAATGGTTAAGTTGTGGTTTGGAGGAATATATGGGGGAAATTATTTGGTTTATTATTATTGGTAAATATAATTAATGGATTTGTAAGAAATTGGATTGCATGGAAATAATTGGAATATTTATGTTCATATTGATTAATATACAAAAAGGTAGTTATATAACTAATTGATTTATATTAAAATGTTGAATTTATATTAAACAACTGTAATATTACATAATTAACGAATGTGAGGATGGATATAAAAATAGATGACAATGGGAAGGGGTATAATATAGAATAGAAGGGAAAAATTGAATTTGATTAAGATTAGAGATGAGGATGAAGGGTAATATTGGTTTTTTACAAAAATAGATGAGGAATAAATATGGCAAAAAGGAAATATAGAAATTTTAAATTTAATTGAAATGACTAAACACTGTTTAAATTTGTGAACCGGCCAAATACTCTGTTCAAAGAAAATACATTGTATGTTTGTATGTGTGTTTCTAATTATTGTTATTTCTTCATATTTGTTCTCTTTTATTCTTTAAAGTTTAACAATTCATTCTTTATCTTAATATTTTTATATTTGTTTGGGGTTGGCTTTCTTCCCTTTCATCTTTTTTATTGTACAGCAATCTTTCTCCTCAAACCTACCACCTCTCTCTTTTCTTTCCTTCTTACTTTCTCTTCCTCACCCTCTTCTTCTCCTCCCTACTTCCTCTTCCTTTCTCCTTCTCCTCCTCTCTTCCTCCCTCTCTTACCCTCCCTCCTACTCTAATTTTCCTTCCCTTCCTTCATCCCTCTCTATTGCTGTATCCTTTTATGCATATGGACTACTCAGAGGGCTGAAAAAGTTATTTTTTTACTGGTCCTCGCACTTTTGACCAGTCCTCGAACTTACGACTGTCCTCACATTTTACGTTTTTGCCCTATCTTGTCACCATGGTGAAGAGAAGCAGTTGTGAAATGAGTGACACGGTTGTTAAAAATGCTACAATGGGCATAAATGATGACCAGTCATAAGTGCGAAGACCGGTCAAAAGTGCGAGGACCTGTCAGAAATGACTTTTTTCAGCCCTCTGGGTAGTCCTTTTGTGCATATGGACTACTCAGAGGGCTGAAAAAGTTATTTTTGACTGGTCCTCGCACTTTTGACCAGTCCTCAAATTTACGACTGTCCTCACATTTTACGTTTTTGCCCTATCTTGTCACCATGATGAAGAGAAGCAGTTGTGAAATGAGTGACACGGTTGTTAAGAATGCCGCAACAGGCATAAATGTGAGGATGGTCATAAGTGCGAGGACCGGTCAAAAGTGCGAGGACCAGTCAGAAATGACTTTTTTCAGCCCTCTATAATCCCTATGCAGATAGCCACGCTCACCGGTCACATGACCAGTTAGCCACGCCTACCCAGTCACATGACCACCAAGCCACACCCCCAACTAAGCCACGCCCACAGAACCAGTTGTTAAAAAAATTGAATCCCACCACTGGTTGTAAATCAAGGAATACCTGTAGTCAAGGAACATTTGATTGCATCATTATGTTGTCTTAAAACAGGAACATTTTGGTGATGTCTATCAACCACCAGACTTTTTGTTAGCGACCCAGAAATAGTTTTCTGAACAAAGCCTTTAGACCTATACTTGGAGAAAATAGAAAACAACTAAAGTAACACCATTAAAACAGATAAAATGGAAGCTTTCAGGAGATGCATGTGCTTAGACCAGCTTTGTTGAAATAGCTATGCCAGTCATAGTCAGCGACTCAGAAGAAAATATTGTAGTAATAAAAGTTGTACTTAATGTTTATTTGCCATGCACTTAGCATATGACTCCTCATGAAAGAAAGAGTGAAAGAGCACCAAGTAGGCCCTGTCTTTGCACTAAAGATATGACAAAACCATGATTCACTGCTTCTGACTCTGCTCTTTTAAAATTGATATTGTGTGATGATGATGACGACGACGACTCCAAGATGACCACTTATTCCTACTGGAGAGTAGAAGCATAGCAGTCATTGATTCAGCAAACAATACCTTGGCAGCTGTGCGACTCACTTCCACGGCAACATCGCCTCCAGTGTTCCCAGCACCAAGTATCAGAACTTTTTTACCCTCCAACCCTTTTGGATCTCTGTATTCCCAGCTATGCATGTATTGACCTTTAAAGTTTTCAAATCCTGTAAAATGACAGAGAAGACAATGTCATGTTTCATGAGATATTTCTCCCTGACAATAAAACAGGTTTTTTTCCATTATTACCAGCTACTCAATACAGTGCCAAAGGTTCTTTATTAAACTTTACAGTATTGATTTTTATATATATCAGAGGCTATCTGCCAAGAAAGTTAGGGGAAATACTGTACCATAGCAAGAGGCGGCGACATGGCCCCATTTTTTAATTGTATGCAAAATGGCTGCCCAAAACTTTGGATTTAATCCTCTCAAATGGGCTTCAAAGCATCTGTGAGTGGAGGTCCGGTGGCTCCGCATTCCCTGAATGGACACTCCTTCAGGAGCTCCAGCCCCGTGATTCCGTTTGCCGCTAGAACAGTGAAAATCAGCTGTTCTAGCAGCTCAAAACTCTCCCCCAGGGAAAAAGGGGGAGAGAAGAGCAGAAGGGTCTGGGTAGAGCTCCCCTAGACCCCCAGGCTTTTTTTTTTTTAAGCCTGGGGTTTGCAGGGTGAGAGCTCCCTGAAAGCCCTTCAGTGCTCTGGATCCGGGACAATTCTGCTTTAAGCAGAACAAGGGGTCGCAACACCAGCAGCGCAATTTTAAGGATTATGAGAAAATTCGAATCTGGATGCTGGCAGAGCAAATCAGGAGAACAGGAAATGCAAGTATTAAACTTTAACTCCGTTTAAAAGAAAAAGGAAAAAAGATGGCGCTTAAGGGCGTTTAAAATGAAAGTTACAAGTGAAAGTGATCGTTAAAGCTGCAATATTGTAAACGTGGCAAGAAAAAGATTTAAAGTGCTAGTGAAATGAAAAAGACTATGGTATTGATCTTAACTACTCTATACTTCTAAATTGTGTGGAAAATTATTGGATTTATTGACCTGATAGCTGAACAAATTTAAAAATAATTGGACTTTGAAAAAAAAAAGAAAATGGCTGGCACCTTTGAAAGTGCTGAAGGACTATTATTACACACACCAGCAAATACACAAATAAGAGCTATAATACATGAAATTTTTGAGTCACAAACCACTGCTTTACTGGAAAGTCTTAAAGGTTTTTTTGATGAAAGGTCTCAGGAAGAAGAAACTGTTTTGACTCAAAACATGGAGACAAAGGAGAATATAGTATCATTTCAAGGCTTGTTAGACAGTAGTGAGCTGTTGGAACAAGATGGGGCAGAAATTCAGTTTAATGTGACTTTGGACAAAAAGGATGCTTTCCAGACCAAGAGGGGAAAGCAAAGGAATCTGGAAGAGTTTAATCAGGAGGACTTGAGAGAGATTTATGGGGGTTTCAAATTAAATGAAATAACTTTAAGAAGACAAAAACTTTCAAACAGACATCAACCTCAAATCCAAATTTTAAAATTCTCGAAAATAAAAGCAGGAGGAGGAGCAATGCTGAAGAAGAAAGAATTATCGAAGAAAAAGGACTGGAAAAAATAGAGAAAGAAGGGAAGAATTGAAGATTAATCTTTTTTGGGGAGCATTTGGGCAATAGGTTGAGAGGCTTAATTAAATTTGTATTTTTAAAGTTTATTCTAAGATAATAATATAAAGGAAGTGGGTTATTACAATTGGTTCTGGATATAAAAATGATAGCTTCTTAAGAGTTATCAAGATAAAAATGATAGCTTTTAAAGAGTTATCGAGGTATTAAAATGGCTAATTAAAAATTTGAGGGACACCTTTCTGAAGGGTTTGAAATTTATATTTTGAGAAATGACTTAATGTCCTATTGATGTATTAAGAGATTTCTAAAATGTTTAACATGAGATTATAGTATTTTAAGAAGGTATATGAGATTAAATGTTTAAAGTTTTAAAATGTTTAATTTTATGAAGGATTAAAGAGGATAAATGTCTAATTTGGAACTTTATTAGGGAGCAATGTTGATTGAGGAAGAAGGACTGGAAAAAATATAGAAATGGTTAATTAAAAATTTAAGGGATAGTTTCCTGAAGGTTTTGAAATTTATATTTTTGAGGAATGAACTGAGAATGTCTTATTGTATGTATTAAGAGGTTTTTTAAAATGTTTAATATAAGATTATATTATTTTAAAAGGTATAGGTGATAAAATGTTTAAAGTTTTAAAATGTTTAATTTAGAATTTTTAATGCTGAATAGTTAGAAATTGATAATTTATGAAGGAATAAAGAGGATAAATGTTTAATTTAGAATCTTATTAGGGAGCAATGTTGAAAAAGAAAGGTGTTTGAGGGATGAAAATGAAATTTATCAATGTTTGTTAATGCTTGTAATATTGTTAAAGCTATTGGATTACATACCAAGAAAAAGGCTCTTATATTCAGGAAGAAAGAATTTAATCTAACTGATTTTGAGAATTTACAAAAGGGAGGTTGATGAATTTGCAAAAGAGGAGTTAAAGAGCGTGAGGGAGTTTTAAACTTTATAGTAGGTTAGTATATTTTAGCTTTTGCTTGTTAAATGTTATACCCTGTTTTTGCTCTGGGAAGTTGGGGGTGGGGGTGGGTGGGGAGGGGGGGAGGGTCGGGTTGGGACAAAATTGTTGATAAATGTGGGGAAAATGTTACAACAAATGAAATGATATCAGGAAAAAAGATGTATTTAGATGATACACTGATTGATTATATATTGTATGTATGCGTGTTTATAAAATAATTTTATATATATAAAAAATAATTTTATATATATATATATATATATATATATATATATATATATATATATATAGAGAGAGAGAGAGAGAGAGAGAGAGAGAGAGAGAGAGAGAGAGAGAGAGAGAGAAGGTTCAAAGGAGAAAAAGAAACAAATTAGGGTTTTTGTATTATCTAGAAGCTATTAAATACTTGGGGATTATTTTTTCTAGGAAAATATCCAGTTTAGTCAATAAAAACATTCCAAAAGATCTAAGATGAAAGAGAATACTAAGAGTTGTGTAAATAATTTTGCTTCAAAACCAATACATATTTGAATGCTATGTTTATGGTTGATTCTTTAAATATCTTAAATAAATTGATAAATTCCTCTTTAAAAAAAAGCATCTGTGAGTGCAAATATAGTACTTCTCTGCAACACCTTAAAATGTCCTTTTCTATATTGATTCCCTTGATATTCTACATGAGTTTTTTAGAAGCACTTGGTTGGATCTACTGCAGTGGTGGGTTGCTACCCATTCACCCCAGATCAGGTGAACTGGTAGTGGCGGCAGCGGCAAGCTCCACCCACCTGCCCAGAAGTATCGCATGAGTGCAAGCGCATGCACGCTGACAAGCGAACCAGTAGCGACAGGATTTGAAACCCACTACTGGTCTACTGGCAATATTATGCTGGACTAAATTAGTCCTGGTCTGCCGAAGCTCTGACATTATCAGATTTATTCAACTGTAAATGGAACTGATTTCCTTCTGTTTTCTTTCCATGTAACAGGGAAACTTGTTTCATTGTCTCTAATACCATTTAATTCTTCTGCCTCAAGTAGTGATTGTAATGATTCATCTCTCATGAATGAAAATATTGAAATCCAAAAAGATATGACAGGAATTGTGTAATTTTGAGAACATAATAGCTACCATGGGTAGAAATGGGGTTGACTAAGACAACAGGTGAGATAAGGTGGCTTTAGGTCTTTATCCCTACTGTAATTCCCATTATAATTGCCTCTCTGCTTTCTGGATCTGCTGTTCTTCATGGGAGAAAAATCTTCTTTTGGAATCATTCTTCCCATTGAAAATAAGCAAGCACATGTGGAGGACAGCAATTCTCATATTTCTGTAATGTAAATTACACTACAAGTAAATGTAATAAAATTGCTTTTCCCCCAGACCCCATAACACTGCATCTTTCCCCACTGGCTATTTATTATTCAAATTATACATGCCAAGACTAGAAAGGTGATTTTAGTGTGATCCAGGATAGCCCCAAAAATGGTTACTGACAAACCATACTCAATGAATAGTCCTTAATGGTACCACATCTATATGAAGGGAAGTAAGCAATGGGGTACCAGTAGGTTCGGTATTAGGCCAGTACTCTTCAATATCTTCATAAATGACTTAGATCCAGGAATAGGAGGGGAACTCTTCAAATTTGCAGATGACACTAAGCTGATAGGAATAGCCAACACCCCAGAAGACAAGCTCAGGATCCAAAAAGATCTTGACAGACTTGAACAATGGTCCTTATCTAACAACATGAAATTCAATGTGGAGAAAAGCAGGAAAAACCAAAGGTATAAATACAGATGAGGTGAAACCTGGCTCAAAAACACTAACTGTGAGAAGGATCTTGGAATCCTAGTGGTCAATCACTTAAGCATGAGTCAGCAGTATGCGGCAACAGCCAAAAAAGCTAATACTATCCTTGATGGTATAAACAGAGGCACAGAATCAAAATCATGTGAAGTATTAGTATCACTTTATAAATCCTTAGTAAAATCATACCTGGAATATTGCATCTAGTTTTGGTCACCACATTACAAAAAAGATGTTGAGACTTTGGAAAAAGTGGAGAGAAGCGCAACTAAGATAATAAAGGGCCTGGAAACAAAAACCTATGAAGAATGGTTGCAAGAATTGAATTTCTAGAGAAAAGAAGAACTAGGGATGACATGATAGCAGTATTCCAGTATTTGAGGGGCTACCACAAAGAAGAGGGGGTCAACTTATTTTCCAAAGCACCAGAGTTCAGGACAAGAAACAATGAATGGAAACCAATCAAGGAGAGAAGCAACCTGGAATTAAGGAGAAACTTCCTAACAGTGAGGTCAATTAACTACTAGTGGAATAGCTTGCCTTCAGAAGTTGTGGGTTCTTCATAACTGGAGGTTTTTAAGAAAAGACTGGATAGCCACCTATCTGAAATGGTATAGGCCAGGGTCTCCTGCTTGAGCAGGGGGTTGAATTGGAAGACCTCCCAAGTTCCCTTCCAGCTCTATTCTGATTGATTGAACCCCAAATTTCTGTTGTTAAGTGAGACATTTGTTAAGTGAGTTTTGCCCCATTTTACGACCTTTCTTGCCACAGTTGTTAAGTGAATTACTGCAGTTGATAAATTAGTAATCTGGTTGTTAAGTGGTTTTCCACATTGACTATGCTTTTCAGTAGGTCACAAAAGGTGGTCACATGACCTTGGGATACAACAATGGTTATAAATATGAACCAGTTGCCAAGCATCTGAATTTTTATTGAGGGGAAAGGTTATAACTGTGAAAAACTGTCATAAGTCACTTTTTTTAGTGCCATTGTAAACTCAATGAAGTGTTATAAGTTGAGGACTGCCTGTATTATTATTTTAAGTTGGTGTATAGCTGGCCACTGAAGTCTCAGTAACAATTAAAAGCCAGAAGACAAGTTAGGCAAGTAAAATCAATAATTAACAATTAAACAACAGTTATAAACCAAAATGTGTTTTAAGGACTTTTTTAAAAAGTTAATGGAAACATCAGGACCCTGAACTCTGCAGGAAAAACATTCCACAGAATTGAAGTGTCAGCCAAGAAGGCTTGACCTGAGTCAATGCCAGATCAACCCCTTGTAGGTAAATGTCATCACTGCTCTCGGCAACTGTAGAAGTTCCTATAGAAAGAAACATTCTCTCAACCAACCTGGACCAAAGTTTTGTAGTACTTACAACCAGCATTTTGACAGGAAATGAACAAGCAGCTGGTGCAATAATTTGAGCACCCATATGATACGGGCTGTTTGCATTTATCCCCAAACCAGTTTGGCTCTTGATTTTTACAGAAACTGAAGTTTCTAGACTAGACACAAAGGTAGACCAACATGCATGTTACCTTTGTTAATCTTAGAAGTTACCTGCATGTGTCCTGTACTATTTTAAGGTCATTTTTGTCATCCCCTCCCCCAAAGAATGCATTTGGCTTTTTCACCCATGATCAAATCATGGATTATCTATTTTATTTTGAATCAACCTGGTATTATAAAACAGCAAGACCATTTTTTTAAAATAGCTGGAACCATAATCACATTAGCTTATTTGTATTAAGCAAAACTCACCAGGAAAAGAATCTAAGGGTAGATTAACTTCTGTATAATGGCCACTGCAAATCATAACTGCGTCAAAGACAGTTGATGCCTGTTTTCCGTTAGTCTCTGTGTAGACCACCCATTGTCCAGTAGTTGTGAAATCTGGATGTTTTCTGATGCTGTATACTGTAGTCTTGTATAACCCCCAAACAAATGAAAACAACTCGGCATCATTATAGAGTGATAACATCTCCAATTTTGCTGTTATTTTGTGTTCTGTTGAGATTTTTGAGGATTACTAGATAAAAGGATAGAACTACTCAAAAGGCATAACAGTTAATAAGAGCATTAAGCACTCAGAGGAAATTTTTGGTTTAGTAATAAATCTCTCACTGCTATCCATATCTAGCAGGGGCTGTGTGTCCCCTTTTCTATCTAAGCCAATCTAAAGTGTAAACACCAGGTTTTTACAAGATGTGGTATAACCCACTCAAAGAGTGTTGTACACATGATCAGAAACACTATATTTCTGGGTATAACAATGGAATAAAATTCTAATAAATAAATACTGTATACGAGTAGGAGGCAGACTGCAAAAAGCTTTCCAGAGGCAGCTGCTTAGATGTTAAAACAGATCCCTTCCAGCCGTATGATTCTATGGTTCTATGGAATAATGTAGTGGAATTCTATATTTTTAACATACCATAATGGTTGAAATTTCACTTAAAATTTACAGTCCTTTCCTATTCCGAATTGCAGAAATATCTACTCCCCCCTCACCTTAAACTGAATGCAGTCCAGAAGGTGAAAATGTTTAGCATAATCCTTGAGGTACTCCAGGACTAAGGAGTGATGTAGGTAGTTAGGACAGCTTTCTGGAAATGGGAAGTCACTGAAGCAGGTCATTTCCTTGGATGTATTGCTCACCACAGATCTGTATACATTGGTCCTTCCCTTTTCAGGAATGTCCTGTACAATGGTTGTATATAATATAGTAAAATGTTTATGAGCCTTTAAAAATCATTTTTGAAAGTGCTTTGCAATGCAACCTACTATTTATATGTAATCTGCTTTAGCCATGGAATAAATCCAGGGGTGAAATTCAGCCGGATCTATCCAGCTCAGGCGAACCTGTAGCAGCGGCTGTGGGACGCTCCACCCAACCATGCAGATGTCATGATGTCACTTTTTGTGACATTTTAAGCCTCTGTGCATGCACAGAATGCTTTGCGCATGTGCAGATGACGCATGGGAGCAAAGCAAGCACATGCGCAGTGCGCACACATTTGCAAACCAATAGGGAAGGTACATGAATTTCACCTCTGGATAAATCTGGTTTTATTTAATTCTGCTGACCACTGATATATAGCTACCTTTATTTTAATGATCTTAGCTGTTCAGCTTTGGACAACAAAATGAGTAGTATATAAATGTAAATATTAAAGAAATAAATAAAACAACATTACATTTTCATCTTATTCTACAACAGGGGTGTCAAACACAAGGCCCAGGGGCTAGATCCAGCCCGTGGGGTACTTTTTTTTTTTTTTTTAAATTTGATTTATATGCCGCCCTTCTCCGAAGACTCAGGGCGGCTTACAATGTGCTCAGCAATAGCCTTCATCCTTTTGTATATTTATACAAAGTCAGCTTATTGCCCCCACAAACTGGGTCCTCATTTCACCTACCTTAGAAAGGATGGAAGGCTGAGTCAACCTTGAGCCTTGGCGAGATTCGAACCCTGCAGTAATTGCAGGCAGCTGGTCTTAATAAGCTTAATAACAGGGTGCCTTAAACCCCTGTAGTACCAAGGCTCTTTTTAGATCTGGCCCACAGGTCCACCCTGGAAACAGCAAAGGACTGGCCCGTGGTGCTTCTGCCAGTGAAAACAGGCTCCTGAACTCCATTTTTGGCTGCCACAGCATCCTGCAATCCTCTGCCAGAGAAAATGGAGCTTGCAGCCCACCTGAGCTCCACTATGCTATATCATAAATAATTCAAGGAACAACATGAAAAGCCTATGTATTTTTCATTTACAAACTCTCTAAGTGAATATATCCCTGAGAAACTGGATTGAGATCAGCTTCTGTATTCTAGCAAGAGCCCGTTAAGGAGGCCAAAGTTGCTCTGTTTTTTCATTGGAACCATTCAGGTTATTTTAGATCAGGGGTGTCAAACTCAAGGCCCAGGGGCCAGATCTGGCCTGCAGGGCTGTCCTGGAAACAGCAAAGGACCAGCCCGTGGTGCTTCTGCCAGCGAAAACGGAGCTTGGGAGCATGCGGCCCTCCCAAGCTCCATTTTCACTGGCAGAGGTTTGCACGAGGCCATGGCAGCCAAAAACAGAGCTTGGGAGCCCGTTTTCACTGGCAGAGCACTTGGGCAACCACAGGTGTCCCCGACATGAATGACATCGAGCTGGCCCACCCTAGCCACACCCACCCTAGACCCCGGAGGTCAAACACAACCCTAATGCGGACCTCAATGAAATTGAGTTTGACACCCCTGTTCTACAATCAAATTTTAATTAGACATGTGTTTGTGTGTTCATCATTCCAAAGGACACTTTTTGCTGCAGGGAGACTTGAGAACACAAACATGGTATCTGTGACACACTGATATCTGTAGACATGCTTCCTATCTGTGAAAATGTGTTGAGAATGTCATTTTAGTGATTCCCAGAATGAGGTAGTTTGGGGATGAGCATTGGAGTCTATGTAATTAATCCTGGGAATATCTGGCTTCTCTGAAAGCAGAGAATGCCTGGTTTCTTTGTCTTTCATCAAACAGGAAAGGTTACCAAGGAGTTTTAATATATCTAAGCTATGCTAGTAAAATATGATAGTAGGAAGGTTTAACACCTCCTACTTATGCACCATCATCTGAGGATATATATTGTACATGTATAGCTTCATATGTGTGTGGCACTCAATTTATCAAAAAACAGCTATGTGGTGAAGTCAATGTGTATACAACCACTTAAATGCGTATAATCTGAACTTCATTATAGAAACAAGAAAACAGACAGCCGAAAAAGACCTAGTGGTCCATTTAATCTGCCTTTTGGATGTTTTTGTTTTTTTAATTAATTAATTATTTTTTAATTTTAATTTAATTTTTTATATGTCCAACCCACATATGAACAAATCTTAGTATATGAAGGTGCTAAAGTCTATGGGAATTATCAATATGAAGAGCAGTTTTTCTCATTGTTTCTCAACAATGCTTAATTAAAGGTCTCCTAATTTTTTACAGACTGCCTGTAGGAAATTCAGGGTTTTTATCTCCCTGCCAACTTTGGAAATAGTCAGCTTCTCAACCAGCTTTCACTTGAACCCTCCCACTAAGAGCCCCACAATCTCTGACTGCTGCCTCTGAACTTGTGATTACTGAGGTAAACAAAATCCATGGCAAACTTCCTGTAGGGATGAGAATCTCCCGAAGGGCTGGACCATTTATTATTTTCTTCTCTGGTTGAACTGGCAGGACTGGGCCAGTCTCCAGGTGGAAGTGATAGATATCTGCTTTTTGGACAAGGTTCATATGTTTTACTTCCCATCCAAGAAAGACATATAGAAATCTTGATTGCATTTGGCAGCAGGGCAGCTTTCTCAAAGAGTTGCTTATAATGCTTCCTCCATCTTTTGTCTCCGTACCTCCCGTAGCTTCATCTTTTAATTATTTTCCTTTTCTTTAGTCTGCCTGTCTTGGTACTACCCTTGGACCCTTCTGACATCAGTGTCAGTAGTTAGATATTGCTTCTTGTATATATATTTCCTCCACAGTCAAGTTATCTTATAACTTAACAACAGCAGCTTATAGTTGCTCAGAGCAAGATTATCTCTTGCTTTCTTTTTGGTCTCTAGAATCTTCCTATTATTTCATGGGTGTTGTTTTAAAAAATACTTTAATGATTGCAACATAATCTCTGGAGGGCAAAACAGTTATAGGTAGTCCTCAATTTACGACCTCAATTGACCTCAAAATTTATGTTGTTAAGTGAGACATTTGTTAAGTTTTGCCCCATTTTACCACTTTGAGTTGTTAAGAGAATCACTGCACTTGATAAGTTAGTAACTGGTTGTTAAGTGAACGTGGCTTTCCCATTGACTTTGCTTGACAAAAGGTCACAAAAGGTGATCATATAATCCTGGGGCACAGCAACCGTCATAAATATGAACCAGTTGCCAAGCATCTGAATTTTGATCACATGATCATGGGGATGCTACAAAGGTTGTAACTATGAAAAAAGGTCATAAGTTGCATTTTTCAATGCCATTGTAATTTTGAACGTCACTAAATGAACTGTTGTAAGTCAAGGATTACCTGTATTTTAGTTTAATGGCCCCAAATTTTCTTTGATGGCACAAGCAAAAGAGACCTCACAACATAGAGAAAAAAATCCCAAACTCCAGAATCTTTGGATTCAAGTAAAGTTCTTCTCTGTTGTTGCTTGTAGAATTACTACAATTTGATAGGGTTTTTTTCCCCCAGAATTTTAAATTTGAATTAGTGCTACTCACTGTGAATTGCCAAAGTCCTCCAATGACATCATTTTTTTCAAAGCAGGTAGGTTCCAGTCCTTCCTCTAGGCAACACTTGATAGAGGCCAGCCCACTCACTCCTGCCCCAATAATGGCCACTTTTCGTTCCATACCTTGGTGTCAGGATAGAGGCTTTTCTGAAGAGGCAGCTAGAAAGTTGCACTGGTATTAATTAACACACTACTATCTGTTGGACACAAAGTGCAAAGGTTATAATTCTGTAGCAATACTTTTATTATTTCCTTGTGAAGTTTCATAAGCAGGAAGCATTTTTCTCTTCCCTTAAGTATACATCTTTGCCAGTAAATATCTGGTAAATTCAAGCACTGTTTATATTGTATATTGGAATGCAAATTACTGTTCTTTTCTCAGGGAGGCCCTCTTGCCTCTTTTAACACTAGAGCTTTGTTAATACTCACCATTCCTAAACAACATTCTTCAATCTATGCAGTGTCAGAGATACTCATAATAATGGTAAAAATAAATATGGAGAATACAGGGACTCCAGATTCTATTGGTTGTGGGGTGGGGGTGCTCAGTTATGAAAAAAGGAAAGTAAAAATTTAAAAAAGTGAATTGTGCTACAATATAGCATTTTAAATCAAGTTAATGAAAGTGGTTTCATTGCCAGGTCATACTATATTTATTTATACCACTGGTTTAAGTGGTGAATAAGTCAACACTTGCTGTTTTGGCACAACTTGCCAAACTCCATAATATAGTTGGTATTTTGCCTTACCATGGCAGTTTTATTTCTTTATTTCTAGAGGAGGTGGAGCTGTAGCAAAGGTGAAACTCCACAGTAAAAGCAGGGTCAATAGCAATGAATGTAGTTTGTCAGAACTACCACAGAGAAACTCAAAAGGTGACCAAGAGTAACAGGAACTAGCTTCATCACATGATGTAACAATAATAGAGTTGGAAGGGACCTCAGAGGTCATCTAGTCTAATCCCTGCTCTCGTAGGAGACCTATACTATTTCTGATAAGATGGTTGTCCACTCTGTTCTTAAAAGCTTCCATTAATGGGGCACCCACAATTTCTGAAGGCAATTTGTTCCATTGGTTAATTGTTCTCACTCTTGGGAATTTTCTCCTTAGTTCTAGGTTGTCTCTTTTCTTGCTTAGTTTCCATCCATTGTTACTTTTCCTGTCTTCAGGTGTTTTGGTAAATAAGTTGGCCCTCCCTTATGGCAACTGTTCAAGTATGAGAATACTACTATCATGTCACCCATGCTCCTTGTTTTCACTAGACTATACCCAGTTCCTGCAATTGTTCTTCATATGTTTTAGGCCCCTAATCATTTTTGTCGTTCTTCTCTGAACTCTTTCCAAAGTCTCAATATCTTTTTTGTATTGGGGTGAGCAAAGCTCCATCCAAGAAGGGTTAAAAGCCATTTAGCATTAGCAGACAGTTGCTGGTAATATAGACTGAAAGGAAGGCAGAGAGGTAAATGCTGATGGCAGCATAGTTCCTCTGTTATTTGTGTGTGAATTTGCAGCAGACCTACTCCTAGAAGATCTGCATGACTTTTCCTGCACTTCTAAGCATTAGTCTTTCTCCCATTCCTGTGAATTCTCTGCAAGCATCAGTATTCTCTGGGGAGAAATCCAGACAGCACTTTAGTAGATTCTGGATTAAGTTCCTTGACCTAGAGGAACATTGCATAGTCCAGCCTCAGCTTGAATTGGGAACTGTACCTTGATTATTTCTTCAGTTCAGTAGTTCTTCATTTGAGGATATGTCAGAGGAAGGCACAACAGTTCTAGATGAGCCACATCAAACAAATTATATTTCACTTAGTATGATGTGTCAACTAACCTAAGAGGTAATTGATATGCTCAAAGACAAAAAGTGGTTTCTTAGTTTTGATTCTAATAATTATGAAAGCAAAGCACTGATAAGTTCCTTCTTTTGTACATTTCTCTGCCTTTTTGAGTAGGGGAGTTCATAATGAAACTGCAGCCTGCACATTTCAAGAAAGGCAGATTTAATTACATGTCTTACATTTATGTACACTAATCTACATGTATCTGTGCACATTTAGAAGTATGGTGAACTTATTTTGAATTTTGCAAAATAAAATCAAACAGAACTAGGAAAGGGTGAAGCTAAAAAATGCAGAATTCATTTCTCAGTAGAACATTTCCCTTCCCCTAACAACTATAGAATGGTTAAATTTTTTGTATTTAATCTGTAGAGATTAAATGCTGACCATGAAGTAAATTGCAGACTATCACAAATATTCTGTGTTCTACAGAAACAATTTCATTTTTGTTTCCTCTACAACAAACTGCATAAAATTTGATTTTTACTTTTTTGCAACTCTAACTTTTGTTTTGCAAACAAACTTTCTTTTTCTCTGCTGCTAAAACATCCATGTTTGGACTTGTTTTCAATACCCTTCAATACAGTATTGCAGCTAAAATCTACAGTGCAAGGAAATTGCCTCTTGCCTCTCAAAACCAGCTGAAAGAGTGTATAAAACCCTCATGTGGATTTGTCTTAGGGCTAAAGTACGTTTTCCCATAACTTATTTCTGAAGTTGCTTTCTTAGCATACTTTTTGCAAATAAAATCATATGATACTACTTCCTGTTTTTGTAACAGTCTGGGCTCATTTATTTTGCTTCCTAAAAAGTTTTTGCTCACATTGTTCTGTGATCACAAGGATATCTTTAAATACATTCTGCAGGATATCTCTGTGCAAAATTCATGTAACTCAGTTGTTGATTAATGAATGTTTGCAGAATCTATCTGTGCAAATTTATCTGACTTTGGGCAAAAATCACAATCACAGGGCAAACAAAGGAACAAGAATTAAAATTTGTTGTTAAAACTGTGATTAAGAAACAAAAATGTTTCAGATTTCTTTCTCTGCAGCAGCATAAATGCAGCATTTCCAGAAGTTTAAGTGTGGAGGAAGGGCTAAGGGGGAAAAGAGAAATCAATTGTATGTATGCTGTCCAAACCATTTTGACTCATCTGGCAGGAATTAAGAACAGAAAGAAAGAGAAAAGAAATGGGGAGGGGGTAGAGAAGAGGGTAAAAATGTTCCCTCCAGTATTTGCTTTCACAGAGCATTTGGGGGGGGGAGAAAATTATTATACATACCTTAAATAGGTGAGATAACCAAGAGTAATGTTTTCTCCTTTTCTATTTAATCCACAAACTACTATAAACAGCAGATTCTCTTCAAACAGCTTTATAGAAGACAGTATTGCATAATCCACCACCATTATGGTGAAAGTTTGTAGAGAGGTTTATTAAATTTTGCAGTGTTTCCATTAATCCAAAACTCTCATTTTAACAGGAAGCACTTTGTACCTGCTTCATCTTTCCCCCTTTCAACTTTACCTTAAAACAAATATTCCAGTAGTGTCTACACACACTGTTTTTCCCCTTGAGAACTACACAAATCGTAACTTGCATTTGATTTGTCTAACAGCCCCAAGTAAAGATATGATTCAGGCTTTTCCCTACCCACAAAAGGCTTTTCTCTTGCAAATATTTACGGCAGGCAGATATTATCTGAGTAGTAGCAGTCGTCTTATTTGCAAGCCTCAGATATTGAACCCTCCAGATACTGTGACACCTGGAAAAGGTTGAGATGGTGCATGGGAAATAAGTGGTTGTGCTCAGTCTTTCCAGTGGTTGTTTCCAGAGCAAGTCCCAGATTATGAACATTTCATACAAAGAAGGGCAATGCTACTGTTGGAAGAAAAATCCCAGGTCCAGTTCCAAGCTGGGAGAAAGGCACTGGAAATAAAATGGAGCCTGGAGGTTGATTGGAAAGAAAGGTTCCCTTGATTGATGAAGCAGAACCACCAAGCACATGTGATTCTGGGACAGCTGACAAAATGAGTTTAGAGTGGGTGGGTCATGTAGGGGTCATAGCTGGCTCTATATGCAAAATGGGAAATGCAAATCCTATTTGTTTGTCTGAGCTAATTTTGTCAAACTTTGGCTTGATTGTGTTGCTGATTGTGTTGCTTATCTGAAGTTTCTGCCTGACTCAGTCTTTCTGCATTTCTATAAACTGCTTGGGGCAGGGAAACTGGGTCTGGTTTCTGCCTCCCTTAAGGTTTTTTCCCATTTCTCCTTTAGGGGAAATACTCTACCCTGCCTTTTTAATATCCCCCAAAATATTTCATTCTTTGGGGTGGGGGCTTCCCACATTACTTAAAAAGAAAGATCCCGGGAACAGCAAGATTTCTGTAGACGCAGAATTAGTGGGATTCTGTAGTGTTGGGATTAAATCTGAGCCTTTCTTCCCAGTCTAGAAATGAATTGCTTCCAGACACCAGAATAGGACATTTACTGTATGCATTCTTTTTCTTGGTCCAAGGTTGTGATATTCAACTGGATATTATCTGCTTACCAATGATACCAATTAACTTCATATTAAATGCTAAATAAGGGTGTCAGAGTTGACTCTATGGTGCAACACAATGGAAGACTTTTGATATAACCTCTCTTCTGCTCCCCAATATCTCCCCCTTAAGAAGAAATGTTACTATAGTGGTTTGATGTCGCGGCAAGATCGGACATGAGGAGTGGGGCTCCGCAAACTCGTGCCAAATCCTCCTCGTTGGAAGGCCCCCTAAGAGGCTAAAGTCACCCCATAGGGTTAACAAAGTGGACACCAGCCCCACCCTTACTAGGTTCTGGTCCACAGTCTGGGAGGGGCTCCTCTTTTACAGGACACAAGTCTATGCATCAATTGACCTTCGCCAAACTGGGGAAGCACCAGGCGAGGGAGGAGTGACCTGAGATGCAAATGAAGATCACGTGCTCAGTCTACATGCAGAACATAGAGCTACTACCCACTCTGGATGCTCTCTTCCATCTCTACAAGAAATGGCGTTCAGGTAGGACCAACAGCCATTTTGGTAAGGCATTTTAAAATGCTGGAATTATTTGTCTCAATATTGACTATTTGCAAAAAACCTGAAATAAATATTTGTCAGATTTTGTGCAACGTTGAAATTTAAGCTGAAGGCGCCATCTACTGGTGAATGGAATATATACTAAACTACTGTAACCTTGGGAAGTAATGATAAGGCAAAGGGGGAAAAAGTAGAAATAAATAACACCTGGAAGATTTGTTTTAGTTTTTCTTTTCTCTCTTTGCTGGTAGGCAAACTTTCAGCCTCGGTTCTGATCACTCCCATTTTGTGTTCTGGTGTAACATTTTTTCCTTTTGAAATTTGCCATCTATTTCACTCCATAATTGTTATAATGAATTCTTCCTAATTATTATGCAATGACATTTAAAATTGTTAATGTAGTTAATGTAAAATTATTTAAAGTGTTAAAGTAGAATTTGTTTATTATAGCATATCTGACAGCAAAATATCAATGGTATTAAACATATATTTTATGATATTATTTAAAGTATTTTAGTGCAATTTGCAAAGCATAATATCTTGACAACAAAGATACCTATTGTCAAAGCCATAGTCTTATTAATTTAACATATCAGAACTAAGTTAACAATTAAAAAGGATAATGGATCAATGCCTTTGAATTGTGACAGTGGAGAAAGTTTTTGAGAATACCTTTGACTCTAAGAAGAATACATTTTTCAGTACCAAAATTGAAGTAAAATCATACTGCTCACTGCAAGCACTAGTAATGAAGTTAAAGTTTAAATATTTTTAATGTAATGCAAATTTGTTTGGCGAAGGCACCAATATATGGTAACATAGAAGGAAATAGAAAAAGAGGTTTTAATAGGCATGACTATTAAAACTGATATGAACATTTGTTTATCTAAGATATGATTATGTAACTTCAGTTAACTGTTCTGAAACTTGATATTTTTGTCAATTTTCTTTCACAATATTTTAGATTATAGTTCCCATTATATCTGATTACTAACAATTATGACTGAGCCTTAAGAGAATTATAGCATAAAAATGCATATGCCAATATCCATTACTCATCATAGTAAAATGAAACTCTGAACTTAGTTGCCAGCTTAAGGAATCATATTGCTTTCATATCCCATTTCCCAAGGGATCAGGCTAAGCAATGCTGAAAGCAAAGTTCTGAGTCATCCTATATTCTCTAAAAATTTGCATTATTTTAAAAGATAACACAATATCCTATGGAGTAAATTAATGTCCTGGCATTGCAATCCTATCTGGTAGGAATAAAAAATATATGTGTTAATATATATGTATCTATTACCATATATGTATATGGTAGCCAAACATATGAAACCACTTTGTGTGTAAATATGCTACTTAAAATAGGATGATATTGCTACCACAAATGCTAAATGATTACAATCCTTTGCTTCTTGCCATATAAGATGATTTGGGGCACAGTGGAACCTCCGGTCATGACTGTAATCCTTTCCAGGACTTTGGTCCGCAACCTGACTTGGTTATAACCAGACGTAAGACTGACTGCGCATGCGCATACAGAAAAAAAAAATGGCACGGAAGGGAAAATTGCCGCGGCTGTGTTTGATCGCCACCCAAGGATGTGTTTGTGACCAGAGTGAAACATTTAGCAGATTTCTTTGGTCAGCACTCAGTTTGGTCGTGGTCAGAAGCGTTCGTGACCCGAGGTTCTACTGTATCGTCTAAAACATCTGGGGAGTAGTAGATTGGGGAGGCTGACTTGGTTAGTGCATGTCCAGTCACACAATTAACTTTTTAATATACTTGTTCTCTAATCAGCTCTGTAAACAGACACCATTATGTTCATTAAAGCAAAATTAAAATGAAGGCAACATTCAAACAAATCTCTTAGCCTAGTTTTCTTGTGTTTGCAGTCAAAACAAGACATCTTATCAATGGTGAGGGGAGGTTTGTACAGTTATTGGTCACAGATTCTGAAGAAAAAGTTAATTCCTGCATGGGAACCTTCCAAATGAAAACAAGTTGATTGGTTTAAATCTGCAACACTGGCATGGAACTCTAACCTCTCTTTGAACACCAAAGATACTGTAGATTGGTTTGAACCTCCTTTGGATGTTACCTTTTTACCTTTGCAAATGCATCCAGTTGGCCACTAAGTGCCTGATAATGCTGCACTATAGCCTGATGTCACAGAGCTGTTTTGTTCTTGTTATTAAGAGGAAATTACCAGTTTTACATCTGACTGATTGTATATCTCTCATCTCCAAGTCCTAACCCAGTGGTGGGATTCAGCCAGTTCGCACCACTTCGGGAGAACCGGTTGTTAACTTTCTGAGCAGTTTGGCAAACTGGTTGTTGGAAGAAATCATTAGGGCAGAGAACCGGTTGTTAAATTACTTGAATCCCACCACTGTCCTAACCCACTTAAAATCATGAGGGTACCAATGAATGGATTAAAAAAAAGTTGAAAGTCAATGCTTAGAGCAGTGGTGAAATCTAAAATTTGTTACTACCGGTTCTGTGGGCGTGGCTTGGTGGGGGGGGGTAATGTGACTTGGTGGGTGTGGCCAATTTTTTTTTTTTACTTTTAAAACCATTTTTTCTACAACCTCTTCGGCAAAGAGGTTGTAAAAAAATGCTTTCAAAAGGCTCTGACCATCCCAGCTGAGTTGCCTGATCGGCAGAGGGTTTTTTTCTTTTAAAAGCCTCTGCCAATCAGGCAACTCAGCTGGGATCATCAGAGGCCTTTAAAACCATTTTTTCTACAATCTCTGAACAGATTGTAGAAAAAATGCTTTTAAAAGCCTTTGATGATCCCAGCTGAGCCGTGCGATCATCAGAGGCTTTTTTTTTACTTTTAAAAGCATTTTTTCGGCCGAAGAGGTTGTAGAAAAAATGCTTTTAAAAATTAAAAAAAAAAGCCTCTGCGCGGCTTAGCTGGGCATGGGTGGAGGGGCAGGGATTTTTGCTACCGGTTCTCCGAACCACCCGCCTCCATCGCTACCAGATTGGGCGATCCGGTCCGAACCAGGAGCATTTCACCCCTGGCTTAGAGGATCCAGAATTATGAGACATTTAGCAGAGAGACAAAGGATAACAGTAAGTTCAAGCCATTAACTACTATAGTTAATAAACTTTGTGAAATGGCTATGTTTGCCCTTGAAGAGGTGCTTGATGCCATAGTGACATGGCAGTAACTCATATCAGAATGTTTCATACTGACTTGAAGTTTCATCTGGCAGTTCCAATACATGTAGCCCTCGACTTACGACCACAATTAGCCCAAAATTTCTGTTGCTAAGCAAGACAGTTGTTAAATGAGTTTTGCCCCATTTTACACCCTTTCTTGCCACAGTTGTTAAGTGAAACTTTGCAGTTGTTAAGTTAATAACACAATTGATAAGTGAATCTGGCTTCCCCATTCACTTTACTTGTCAGAAGTTGCAAAAAGTGATCACATGACTTCGGGACACTGCAACGGTCATAAATACAGTACATGCCAATTGCCAAGTGACCTAATTTTGATCATGTAATTATGGGGATGCTGTAACAGTCATAAGGGTGAAAAACGGTCATAAATCACTATTTTCTGTGACGTCATAACTTTGAATGGTCGCTAAACAAATGTTTGTAAATCAAGGACTACCTGTAATATATATGCACCAAAGCCTCTGATTCTTTCAGGTGTTGACTAGAAGGGTGATGTAATTGGCTGTGAAAATAACCTTGCAAGACAGAAGGAAGAGCTGCAGTCTAAACAATGGTCTGATGAACAAAATTTGAGGCCAAACAGCAAATGCAGGTGGAAAAAACATATCAGAAAGGACTCTTCCTAATTCTGTGGAAAGTAAAAGCAAGGGAGGGGGGAAATGCTTTTAGACTTGCAAGATTCTCTTATTGTAATCTTACAATAAAGGTAGCATGAGTACTCATATTTTGGTTTCCTACCTGGATTACCTTGAAAGGTTTACAGGCAGGAAGTGATGTCTGCACAAGCATAGGAACCTCTTAGGCAACTAGAATTGCCAGATGAAATAAGAGCAATGCAAAGCAAAGCAAAGCAATGTAATTGTTTTGCTTTCAGAAAGAAGAGTGGGATCCTTCACATGAAATATGGAATTTACTCAAACAATGTGGAGTTGAATCTGAATGATTTTGAAGGGGAGTAGAAAAGTATGTCTATCAATAAATATTAATCACAGTGGGTCTGAGAACTGGCTTTTGGGGAACAGGAACTTTAATCATGTCCTACTTTTCTGGCCACAGAAAGATCAATTAGTTGAAACTTTTATATATTCTAGTAGGACTTTTTATATTACCCAAATGACTATAACAAACTCAAGAAAATGTCATGGCTAAAGCTGAAGGCCGGATAATGCCTTTTGGGTGGCATACCAAGGCTGCCCTTCAAAAAAATAGTTAACTGGGTCAGGTCAACATTTACATCTTCTTTTACTTTTAAGTAAAATCAAACATAATTAACTGATTACTATTTGGTCAAATAATAAATTCAAAATTAATATTTTGTAATGTTTAGAGAACTCTAACTTTTTGAAGAGGTACCTGGAGTGGCACATCCTTTTTAAAAAGAGAAATTTGCACCTTGGTTGTCCCAAAGTGGTCTGCAAAAACTAATTGAAACTAAGGTAAATTCCAACCAAGATAACAAATATGGCAAGCCCTTTCAATAAGCAAGAGAAGCAATTCAAGGAATCTTCCACAACTCGGGTTCTTGTGGGCTTCAGGACTCGTTCCCACTGGTTCAGGATGGCATTTCTGGCCCCATTCCACTTTCCTGGTCCAGTCAGACGATACTGGTAGGGAGAGCAGGGGCCAAAGAAAATCTTGACTGCTAGTATGGGATCTTTGAGAAGTAGAGCTGGCACACTAGGCTTTATACCAATGAAGGAACCAAGTTCATCACAGTAAACAAGGCAATCTGTTTTCAGGACTTCATCAAAGGACAGGCCAAACCTTAATCAAATAGCACAAAGAAAGAGACAGGAAATAGTACAGTTAGTAAATTAAATACACCACCTGGCACTGAAAATTCTGTCCTTTTTCTTGGGGACCCTGGATCTTTAATATTTAGCTTCCTCCAAAACTTAAAATGTCTACAAATCTCTTTGGAGACAATATATTGTTATGATTTAATTTAGATGAACAGAAATACCATTTATTTGCTTTTCTGATTAAAAAAAAAATAACTTAGCAACCTGTGAAATACTATTATTTACCTCATACCGCAGAGGCGACACAATTCACCTCACTAGGCAGCACAATTTCAACCAGCATTTCCAGTATCTGAAAGGGGCTCTTATGCACACATAGAACATCTTCAAGGAATAAAAATGTTAGTCCAGATTGTGAGGGAGGCCCTGGAGCACCTCCAAATGAAGAAGAGAGGCTGCTTCTGTGTTAGAAGTGAAGACTACTGTGCTCCTTTGAAAACCTTTTTAAAGAAGGATTTGTATGCCCCTTGACATAGTGAAAGTCAGCTTTGTAAAGGCTACTAGACATTCAGCCTGTAATGCTGGCCAGTGAAAACTGAATCAATCCATCAGTTCAATTGTCCTAATATTTTGTGCAATATTATGGCTCAAGCAGACTTATTCCTTCCATTTAAGATACATTAAAAGCTGGACATGCTATCAATTTTTGTATGTGATCATGCAAAACAAGTGCTTTGTGATTTAATTATGATCATTTGCGCTAGCCTAGAAAATCAAAAGATTTGCAGTGGCTCCAGGAGAGCCAGTTTTATTTATTATTTAATCGCTTTTCTGAGCTACAAGCATACTGTAATTCTCATCAGGAAATTAGTCCATAGATTGATTGCTCCAGAAAATGGACAAAATCTGCATGCAAAATTTGAGATCTCACTGGAAGAAAATGTAGTCTTCATTTAATGACTGATTTATTTAGCATCTGCTTGCAATTGCAATGAGGATGAAAAAAATAACTTCATGACCAATACCTGCCTATATGACTTTGCAGTTCTGTAAAGCAATGGAAAGCTGAAGTAAGATTATAAGCATGGTTGTGATTAACAGTCACTTCACTTAATGACAAATTTGCTGGTCCCAATTGTGGTCATTAAACAAGATCTATTGTAAAGCTTGTATTTCCATAGACCAGTAGTGTCAAACTCGCAGCCGGTGGGCTGGATTTGTCACTTGTTGGCCACGCCCATTCCCATTTTAGCAAAAGGGAATAAAGTCACTATATGTCCTGTGACGACAACATGATAACGCGAGTTTGACACCCCTGACATAGCCCATGCTTAATGATCACAATAGGGACTGGCAATTCTGTCACTAACCACTGTGGTTGCTAAGTGAAAAATCAAGTGACTGCAACAGGCTTATGATGTCACTTCCGATTCAGTTGTTTGGCAAATCACTGTGATTGATAAATGAGATATCACATGACTGTTACTTGTGATTTTATTTCTAAGTTCTCCATTAACTGTGCTTGTCAGAAATCAGTTGTGGAGCACATTAACAACAATCATGAATGCAAGGATTGGTCACAAAGCTAATTTATTTTACATTGCTGTAACTTTGAATGATATGAATGTTGCTAAGTGAGGTCTATCCTGCATTCTTCTGAGCTATGACAGCTTCTGTTTACTGATTGGAAATACTGCCTGACATTATCCTTGATTTTAAAACTAATTTTGTTCCATTTGAGCCTTGTAATGCTAACATGAAAATCAGCAATCATACAGCATTTTGCAAGCTTTGCAAGGCAAGTATCTTTCATCTACTAGGTTTAGGTGCCACCATGAAATGAAGATGATGTAGTTCTCCACAACTACAGATGCCACCAGACAAACACACATAAATATAGGATGCAACTTCAAGGATTCCATCTGCAACATTGAAATAGCCCTCTAATAGAACTGAAGCTTGATTAAATCTGGTTTAAGTCAATAAACATTTATGGAAATAATTTTTTTTACTATATTGCTAGTACTTAGCCATGTGACCTGAGCTAGTAGGCAATTAGCTGAGAATTTTATCCATGTCACACCAATTCCTCATAGTTCAGGACAAAAATATTAGTTCCTTCTTGTCTCATTTGAAGCAGCTTTGGTTTATGAGCATAGAGTCAGAGTCAGCATATTCCCCCAACAATCTGAGTCCTCATTTTACTGACCTTGGAAGGATGGAAGGCTGAGTCAACCTTGAGCCTAGTGAGATTTGAACAGCCAAATTGCAGGCAGGCAGCAGGCAGCAGGCAGCAGAAGTAGCCTGCAGTACTACAGTACTGCACTCTAACCACTGCGCCACCATGGTTTATTGGATTAGATTGTTTATCTGCCATGCAGTACAAAAATATCAGCAATCAATGTTTACATTGTATAAATTTTTTAGTGTTTTCCGAAGATCAAACATGTGCTGGAAGCTGGTCAGCTAATAATTGCAGTGCATTTTTTTTCCAGCCAAGGAGACTTGGTCCAATATAGTCTTCATTACATAAAAAGACTTACCAGTTGACTTTGTTTTTTTTCTTTTCATTGATTTCTTCCATCATGGTTTTGGCTGGAGGCAATTTACACAAACCTGAAAGGAAAGAGAATATTTCAGCAATATTTCAGAAAGTTGGTGGGTGTTTTGCACCAAAGCAAGTAAATGATAGCTTTAATGGAGGATTATTACCAAACAAAAAACCTGTCTGACTGTCTTTCAAAGAAGATGTAGCAAATAAAAAAATGCCCAAATGGAAATGATCATGAGATTATCATGTAATTGGATTCAAATTACGCTTGAAGGTATATTTGTTTTTCTTAGAGATATATTCTGAGAATTGTAATGGATGTAAATTGCTACCCCAAGGCTTCCTACTACTAATTTCACCTTAATCTTAATAACAGCCCCCACCATCAAAACACTGACAAGTGAAACAAGTTGCATCCTCTGATTTGGGGAATTGGCTTCCCCCTCCTGCATCTCAACTCTGTAAACAAGAGTGAAGAGATAAAGTAAATAAATAATAAACTTCTACTTTAAAGAGTAGGAGTGAGAAGGGGTTTGTGCCTCAATTCATCTGAAGCACGTAATGGATGCAATCTTTGGAAAGGAAATTATTCTGGAAATTGAATGGAAATACTATGAAATTAGAATAGGCCCCTTGAATCTCCAAGTACTTCTATTTTAGTAGGCAGAAAAATGCGGACTCATTTGAGTAAGCAGAGCCAAGCAGCACACAAGATGAACAAACAAAATAAAAAGTTTGTAATGAATCAGATTAATAAAGTAGGATAGTTTCAAAAACTAAACAACAAGGGGAAATCCTCTAAGTCAGTGGTGTCAAACTCGATTGCACTCCTCTGCCAGCAAAAAACGAAGCTCGGGAGAGACGCACGTGGCCCTCCTAAGCTCCGTTTTCTTTGGCAGAGGCATCGAAGACCACTCCTTTGCTGATTCCAGGGTGTCCCCTCGGGCCAGATCTAAGCACCCCATGGCCCAGTTCCGGCCCCCGGGCCTTGAGTTTAACACCCCTGCTCTAAGTCAAAAATATAAGAAGGTATAGGATGTAACCACTCTGCTAAGGACAAACAAGTATGGATCTAGTTAGTGTTTCAGAAGGGGGTTACCTGGAGTTAGTTATTAAGATCTGAGATATGATAGTAATACCATTGTCAGTAATAGCCTTGGCTGAACTGGTTATCTACAGTTTATCTATGATGGTACTGAGCAGGGATATATCTGAAAGCAGGCTGGTAACTCTTGCTGGGAAGCTACTATCAAAGAATACCTAGTTTAGTTGTCATCACTCTGTTGTCTAGCAGCATTTTGCATATAAAATAGATATGCTCAAGGACTCATTAGAGCAGGGGTGTCAAACTCGCGTCATCACGGCATCGTCACGTGACATATTGGGACTTTTCTCCCCTTCACTAAACTGAGCGGGGCGTGGTCAACACATAAGCATCTGGCTCACAGGCCACAAGTTTGACACCCCTGCATTAGAGAGTTGCAACTCAATCTACATACCATTAAAGACACGTGTGACCCAACGTGCTTGGATTTCCACAACTGGTATGATTGCACCAAATGGCCTGATGAAGCCTATAATGGCTAGTGTTGGTTTCTCTAGTTGAGGAAGAAAGATGTATTTGTACAAGGAAGCATGATGGTTTTCAACCTTGAGAATTGATTCATCAATGAAGGGAAAAGAAGCTTTGTATCCAGTGGCAAAGACAACAATATCTACTTCCTCTGCAGTGGGAGCATTTACAAACACAACAGCATTCTCTTTGAACTCTTTGACTGCAGGCATAATAGAGATCTTTCCAGTGATAATGCATGAAGGAAGTAAATCATTTAATATAGGTTCTCTCATCACACTCCTAGGGAAAAAAAATAAATGCAATTAGTAAATTGCAGGCAAAGGAGATACCCCCTGGATTATCCTTTCTTTTCAGCATTTTTATAGGTCATTCTTATTGGAGAAAGTTATGAGAAAGAAATTCTCCCTTTGACTCTCAGCCTGGAGTTTTCATTCATTTAACTATGAATATATAGTGGCTAATAAAGAATACCTATGTATATGTTCGTGCATGTTCTAGGCTGGCTAAACTAATGGCAATTCTCACCACTTGTACAAGTGAAGTCCATTATCATGATGTAAAGATGCATTTTCTTTGAAGTTTTTCAAACTTCCATTAGATGACCTAGAGATCTAGTAATATGGTGAGGGGGAAAATTCATTTATCTCTCTCTTAAACAAGAAGTGAAGTTTGCAAACCTCCGCTCTTCTCTAGCATAGTTTAGAAAAACTTCTTCTGTAGACTCAGAGAGAAAGTAAGAAAAACCTCTCAAACCTAGAATTTAAAATGCTTGCTTTCCTGTCAATTACAGATAGATTTGTACAATACATCTCTAATTAGCAAATTGCTCTGCTTTCAACTTTGTCTCCAAGAGTGTTGCCTTGTGCTGAAAGACTGAAATGAATCTGCTCAAGGCAAGGAATGCCTATTATTCAGGAGGTAACAAAATCAGCTATAGAACAAAATAATTTTATACCTTTGAGTTCCCTTTAATGTTCATGCTTTGAATGGAGATTATATGTCATATTGTATATGTACAATCCATAACCCCTTACGTGAGGAATGGCTCTTTGTCACATACAGGTCAGCAGCCACTCTCTCCTTCAGATAAAGAAATTGCTTGATCTTTTTAAAACAAAGGGCAAAAATCTGAAGAAGGAAATTGGGAAGGAGTACAACTATCATCTGCCCAGCAATCTCTGATTAATGTTTGGGATCTTGGGAAGCTGTAAAAAATGCAGAAAGGAAGCAGAGAATATTTGTTTTGAGAATCCTGCTAATTTTATAGAAATATGATATATGTATAGCCATGAGGTGTTGGTTACCACCTTTAAAGCGCTCCATGGCATAGGACCCGGGTACCTCCGAGACAGTCTTCTGCCACCAATAGCCTCCCACCGACCAGTCCGTTCCCACAGAGAGGGTCTCCTCAGGGTGCCATCAGCCAAGTTATGTCGGCTGGCGACACCCAGGGGGAGGGCCTTCTCTGTGGGAGCCCCAGCCCTGTGGAATGAACTGCCCCCGGAAATTCGTAAGATCTCCGACCTCCGGGTGTTTCGCTGCGCATTGAAGACCCTGTTGTTCCGCCAGGCCGGACTATCAACACAATAGTTTTAAATTGGGGTATTTAAATTTTTTTGGGTTTTAAATCTGAGCCAATTTATTTAATTATTTTAAATTTTATATTGTTGTTTTGTCTGTGTTTTTAAATAGGCTGTACACCGCCCTGAGTCCTTCGGGAGAAGGGCGGTATAGAAATAAAATTATTATTATTATTATTATTATTATTATTATTATTATTATTATTAATTTGCACTAGGCTTTTTATTTGGTTTTTGGTGGTGCTAAATCTCTGTTTTTCATCTCTGCACAAATTACAGAATTAGCATTTAATGCCAATTTAGGCTCTGCGTGAAAATATAAAATGTTTTGGGAACATTATGCTTGGTAATCATTTGAATCCCTAATTTCTTTACCAGAATTTGTCTTGCAAGCTCTTCATTTGTGATAGAACATGCCACACCGTGGTCTGTTCTATTTTCCTTTGTTCTTTTTAAACTACTTTCCAAGTAATGTGATCTTGACAGTTCTATTGTTATCTCTTTCTCTGTTGAATGCTTGTATTTTAATGTGTATGTGCACACAGCTTTGAATCAGGGTTTTGCAGGTTTTTAAAATCAGTGCCTGAAGTTTTCTTGGCAAGAGTTTTTGGAAGTAGTTTGCCATTGCCTGCTTCCTAGGATTGAGGAAAAATGACAAGATCGCCCAGCTGGACTCTAATCTATGGCAAGACTAGAACTCATAATCTCCCAGTTTCTAGTGTGATACCTTAATCACTACATGAAACTGATTTTTTAATACATGAAGTTAAAAAGTGTTTTCTATATAACATAACATAACAAAACACAACACAACACTACTTTATTTGCAATGAGATTGGTTTATCTCTCAAGAGGAAAAAATAAATACAGAACTGGTTAGTCAAAATGCTAGACTACCGGTAGGTGGCCAGGATAAATGGCCAGCAAGTGGCACTATATTAGGCATCAATAACTAATGCAGGGGAAAGGATCAGGATGTGAAGACTTAACAAGAATTCTGGAGGGGAGGAAGAGGTTTGAGGTATTTGTCAACTCAGTCAGTGTTAATAGGAGGGGAGAGATCCAGCCCTCCCCCACTGCTTTGCATAGTTCCGCAGGGCTTGGTACTCTCTCCGCTCCTGTTCAACATTTATATGAAGCCACTGGGAGAGATCATCCATCACCATGGACTCAGATATTATCAATAAGATGATGATACTCAGCTGTATGTCTCAGCCCGTGGTAAATTAAGCGATGCCATATCCTCCTTCTCACAGTGCCTGGAGGCTGTTAGGGCTGAATGGGGAGCAACGAGTTGAAACTAAACCCTGGCAAGACTGACCAACCCTGGTTCTGGGTTTGGAATTCCTTGGCCCAGGGAGAATTGCCACCTTTGGTCTTGGGTGGAGTGGCACTACCCAAACAGACCCTGTGTATAATTTGGGGGTTCTCCTGGATTTGTGACTCCTGCTCAAAGAGCAGGTTGCAGTCGTGGCCAGGAGGGCCTTTGTGCAGTGATGGGATTCAAGTAATTTAACAACCGGTTCTGTGCCCTAATGATTTCTTCCAACAACTAATTTGCCAAACTGCTCAGAAAGTTAACAACCGGTTCTCCCGAAGTGGTGCGAACTGGCTGAATCCCACCACTGCCTTTGTGCAATTGCAGTTTGTGCGCCAGTTACACGCTTTCCTGGATCAACAATCCCTACTCATGGTCACTCATGCCCTAGTCACTTCCCATCTTGACTTTTACAACACGCTCTACATGGGGCTGCCCTTGAAGAGCATCTGGAAGCTCCAGTTGGTGCAAAATGCAGTGGCCTGCATGGTTTTATGCAGACCTCAGTGTGCACATGTATCACCTCTCCTGCAGGAGCTGCAGTGGTTGTTCATTTGCTTCCAGGTGCAATTCAAAGTGCTGGCTGTCACCTTTAAAGCCCTTCATGGCCTGGGACCAGGTTATCTGAGGGACTGTCTCTTGCCGGTCACATCTACCCAACCCACCTGAGCGGGGGAGGCAAGGAATGTTGCAGAACCCATCCCTTAGGGCAGGGATGTCAAACTCGATTTCATTGAGGGCCGCATCAGGGTTGTGTTTGACCTGAGGGGCTGGGGTGTGCGTGGCCAAGGTGGGCAAGGCCAGCTTGATGTCACTCATGTCAGGGGTGTCTGTGGTGGCCCAACCTGTCTTCCAGTGAAAACGGGCTCCAGAGCTCAATTTTCAGCTGTGATGGCCTCCTGCCGCCCTCTGCCAGTGAAAACTGAGCTTGGGGGGGCCGTACACGCCCCCCCGAGCTCCATTTTCGCTTGGAGAGAGGGGCAGGAGGCCATTGCAGCCAAACGCAGCAAACTCTGTTTTCGCTGGCACAGGCACCATGGGCCAGTCCTTTACTGTTTCTAGGGCGGCCCCGTGGGCCAGATCTAAGCACCCCACAGGCCAGATCCAGCCCTGGGCCTTGAGTTTGATACCACTGTCCTAGGGGGATACACCTGGTGGGACCCAGAAGAAGTGCCTTCTCTGTGGTAGTTCCCTCTCTCTGGAACATCATTCTCCCAGAGATTAGAATGGCCCCCACTCTAACACTCTTCCGGAAGGCGCTGAAGACCTGGTTCTGCCAGTGGGCCTGGAAAATGCAGAGCGGGATGGAGCCCATTAAATTGCTCATGTGATGTGTTGTTGCCGGGGTGGGGTGGGGGTGGCAGGTTATTTATACTATTTTATTAATTTATTATAGGATTCTCTCTTTTATTAGTTTTATTGTTTTTTTATATGAGGTTTTTATATTCTTGTAAGCTGCCTTGAGTCGCCATGTTTTAATAGGCAGCAATAGTTTAGTTTAGTTTAGTTGAGTTTAGTTTAGTTTAGTTTATTGTCATTGCACCTCGTACAATGAAATTAAATGCCATCTTCAGTGTACATTATAACTATAAAAATAAAACACAATTAAATTGAAAACCCGATATTGCATTAATATTGCACTATACAGTAGAATTCAATATAGTTACAATATAAATTTTGTAAATAAATAAACAAATAAATAAAATTTATTATCTTCCCATCTTTAACCTCTAATTTATTCCCAGTACCTGTCTTGGGGAATTAAGCCATAGTTTGCATGGTTAAACCACTGGTTCACTCTGTTTGCAATCATCCATGTTGTGATACGTCCAGGAAGGCTATTTCGGATAATATTCAAAAAACGACTTAGAAACACCATGTCCCAGGGGTATCCATTATCAAAAACACGGCTTATTACCCAAGCACCTCTTTCTGTGCTGATCATCACCTAAAAAATAGAAGACAATGAAAAGAGAGCAGCAGCCTGATAATAATGAACAATCTCAAGTCATATCTATATCTCACACAAAAATATTTAATAGATTATCTCAGTCTAGGTTTGGGACTCTTACGATGAGAACCTGTATTCATTCATTCACTCTCTCTCTCTCCCCCCTCCCCCCATATTATGTACAATATAATGTTAGGCTGTGAACTGCTTAATGCCAATTGTAATTGAGGTGATATAAAGCTTCATAAATAACATTAACCCATGTAGTGCTGGCCCTCTTGAAAGTCATTAGTTATGTAAATTAATTCCAAACTTCATGCTGGGTTGAGACAGATCCGGGAACTGCTTGCAGTACTTCTTCTAAGTGCCCACTTGGTTCTTTTAATTCTGCTGGCTATATTGTGGCCTGCCAATATCCATCTAACTGTGCCCACTAAGTAAAAGAAATGTCCAATACACACACACACACACACACACACAAAGCTGAGACCCCAGTAAAATATCAATTTTCCTCATGTAATTTATATATACATGTCAAAACTACAGTAAATTAACATCCAGGTTCTATTGCCTGGGAGATGAGCCAAAACATCATGGTTTTCTGAAAGGCCAATATTTTGATTGATGGATTTCAGTTTTGAGGCTGCCAACTTAACAACTCTGGGCAGCTTATAATTACAAAAGAGAAATAACATATATAGAAAAAGTGACATATAAATATACATGAAAGGAAGATTAACTCGGTACCAATTTAAAAAATCCAACTTATGGGGATTCCACAACTGCTGCATCACAATGTTTGGGAGAACAACCAACTTTTAAAGGATTTTCTGAATGTCATTGGGGTCATTGGATTTTAGGGGTGAGTGGCATTGCAGGGCACAGGCAGTGTGATGGAGAAGGCATCTTTCTTGTATCCTGCAAGATGATAATGTTTAATCAATGGGACTCAGAGGGCACTTACTCTGCCTGATCTCAGCGGTCAGGAAGAAATAACTAGAGGATGTTCATATCTCTAGGACAGGGGTGTCAAACTCGTGGCGTCACAGCGGGTCATGTGACATATTGGGACTTTTTCCCCCTTCACTAAACCGGGCATGGGTGTGGCCAGCATGTGATGCATCTGGCCTGTGGGCCGTGAGTTTGACAGCCCTGCTCTAGGAGGTGGCTGTTCCATAAAGCAAAGGCTGTGACAGAGAAGGCATCTTCCCAGGACCGACCAGATAATACTATAGGTAGTCCTCGACTTATGACCACAATAGAGTCTAAAATTTCTGTTGCTAAGCGAGACAGTTGCCCCATTTTATGACCTTTCTTGCCACAGTTGTTAAATGAATCACTGCAGTTGTTAAGTTAGTAACATAGCTGTTAGTAACATAGCTGTTAAATGAATCTGGCTTCCCCATTGACTTTGCTTGTCAGAAGATCACAAAAGGGGATCACATGACCTTGGGACACTGCAACTGTCATAAATAAGAGCCAGTTACCAAGCATGTGAATTTTTATCACATGACCACCGGGATGCTGCAATGATTGTATAAGTGTGAAAAGCGATCATCAGTCACTTTTTTAATGCTGCTGTAACTTTGAATAGTCACCAAATGAGCTAGTGTAAGTTGATACACTCATCAAGAGGACCCAGAATGTTCCCTTTGTGGCAGATGTAGTGAGATATGTAGAAAACATCAGAGATAGGCAGTCCCACAAGCATCCTAGCCCCATGCCATGAATAGTTTAAAAATTGACAGTTAGCACCTTGAATAGTACTGGAAGCCCACTGGGAGCCAGTGCAGCTGATGCAATAGTGGTGTTACATGAGTGTGCTGTGATGCCCTCTGAACTGTATGTGCTTCTGCCTTTTAGACCAGTCACTGTTTCCAAAAACTGTTCAGGGCAGCCCTGTTGCAGTAGTGGAAGTGGGAGTTGATTAAGACACAAATGACAGAGTGCAGTGCCTCCCAGCCCAGGAATGGCCGTAATCACACAAGATGTATTTCTGCAAAGGCTGTCCTGTGAGCAAAAGCTATGAGTCCAGGAGCATCCCTAGATGCATCAACTCTACCTGGGCGATTGTAACTCCATGCAGAGTTAACTGTAGAAAATCATTAGATACCAAGGTTCCTAAAGCCTTGTCAGGGTTGAGCCAGTGGTGGGTTTCTACCAGCTCACCCCGGTTCGGGTGAACCGGTAATGGTGGTGGTGGGAGGCTCCACCCACCCACCTGGACATCATCACGAATGCTCTGCGCACATGCAGAAGCGCCCCGCACGCGTACTCACAGTTCCTAACCAGTAGCGAAAGTAAGTGGAACCCACTACTGGGTTGAGCCAAAGCTGGTTCTTCCCCAATCAGTCTAGAAAGTCTCTAGGCACAGGGAGAATATTTCAGTTTCATCACTTGGACAGCCTGGGCAGAGATGAATAACTCAATGCCTTTAGGATCCTGATGATACACCCAGCAGTTTCATTTATATATTGGAGCACTGCAGTCTTGTAATACAATATCTGAAGGGTCTTGAGTTTACCCATAAACCAAGTCGGTCATCAGAGGTCCCTCATTTTGCTGCTATGTAAGATATATGGTGGTATTCTCAGAAAAAATGGAAGTGTTCAGATTATGGGTTGTTTTGGGGGGAAGCTTGCAATTACTACTGTGTGTAGTTGGCATCCGAATATATTTATTTTTTTCTTAGCCTTCTCCTTTCAATTTTCATCTGGTCTAATTTTGAGAGTTTTCACTATTACTCATATATATTTTGCTACTTTTTGAATATTTTCCATTCCATTGTTTTGTCTTTTGAAATTTAAAACAGAGGGGAAAAAATAAGATTGTAACTATTCACTAGAACAGTTGATGGGCAATACATTTTCCCAAGGGGCCACATGAGAAACCGGAAATATTCTGAAGGGCCACCACCACAGCCCCTGCTCCACCACTGCCACCCTGCCTCCTGATGCCACAGCTGTCCTGCCTCCTGCAGCCAATACACACACATGCATGCACGCGCCCACATACACACATACATAAATCCAGTGGTGAAATTTAAAATTTGTTACTACCGGTTCTGTGGGCGTGGCTTGGTGGTGGTGGGGTAATGTGACTGGGTGGGCGTGGCCAATTTTTTTTTTTTACTTTTAAAACCATTTTTTCTACAACCTCTTCAGCAAAGAGGTTGTAAAAAATGTTTTCAAAAGGCTCTGACGATCCCAGATGAGTTGCCTGATTGGTAGAGGCTTTTTTTCTTTTAAAAGTCTCCGCCGATCAGGCAACTCAGCCTGGATCGTCAGAGGCATTTAAAAGAAAAAAAAGCCTCTGCCAATCAGGCAACTCAGCTTGGATCGTCAGAGGCATTTAAAAGAAAACAAGCCTCTGCCAATCAGTCAACTCAGCTTGGATCGTCAGAGGCTTTTAAAAGGAAAAAAAAAGCCTCTGCCGAGCTGGGATCATCAGAGGCTTTTTTTTTTTACTTTTAAAAGCATTTTTTCGGTTGAAGAGGTTGTAGAAAAAATGCTTTTAAAAATTAAAAAAGCCTTTGATGATTGTGCGGCTCAGCTGGGCATGGGGGCGGGGGCAGGGATTTTTGCTATCGGTTCTCTGAACCATCTGCCTCCATCGCTACCGGATCGGGTGATCTGGTCCAAACTGGGAGCATTTCACCCCTGCATAAATCTCTATAAATCTCTTATTAAAATTTAATAAGAATAAATTTAAAAATACAATTTAAATGGGAGGTTAATTCATACTCCTTATGTGCCCCTTTCCTTTGTGTGAATAAGCTCCAGTGACATCATTGACAAGTATTATCAGAAGAAGGCCTCCATAAATGATCTTAACTGTACAGTCAAGGTTATATGGGGCAAAATTCTTCTGCTAATTTGTACAAAATCCGGTTGTGGGAAAATCTGAATATAGTTAATGTACTTTATTAGCATATGAAGAATCTCTCCATTGGCTATAGAAAAAAAATATTCAGGACATAGTTTTTCACACAAGATGGAGCTACCATTCCACTTAAGGCTTCCAACAATAATATGGAAAATCATAATTTTGCCTAAACCTTATTTCAATAAATTCCTCTGTATCTTGTTTTGAGGCATACTGCATGTAGAAAAATGAGGATTTTTCCAGATCGAACAGCTGTATGTCATGTACATCCAGTTATTATTTATAGTTGTTGATCAATGTTTTGACATGATTTACCAAACCCAACCTGGGAAAGGATGCCTTATAATTTTTTGCATGCAGAACATATGGTCTGCAAATAAAACATGCCCTTGCTTTTGTATGAAGGACAGGAAATGTAATACTGTCCAAATATTTCAGATTTAGGTTCTACCATGTTTCCCTGAAAATAAGATCCGGTCTTATTTTCTTTTGGGCTTGAAAATACGCACTTGAGCTTATTTTTGAGGAGGTCTTATTTTTTTAAGTGTGGGGGCCGATGGGAGTGGGAGCACAGCTACCGCTGCCCCACCCTCTCTGTCCCACTGTCTGCTTGTCCACAGCTGCAACGGGCCAAGCTCTCAGCATGCCCCAGCCTCCATTCACCCTACCTGCTGGCCCAGATGCTGCTGGGACACTTATTGGCCATAGTGCCTCATGGGGGCTCTTTGTCCTCGCAGGGTGAATGGAGCCTGGGACATGCTGAGAGCTTGGCCCTGATTGAGGCCGTGGGCAAGCAGACAGTGGGACAGAGAGGGCGAGGTCGGTGGTAGCTGCCCAAACACTTTTTGTCCAGAGGGAGACTAGGCTTTGTCTGCTTGCAAAGGGGACACTTTGAAACAGAGCTAATTGCTCTGTTTCAAACTGTCCCCCTAGCAAGCACACGAAGCTTTGAGTCTCCATCATTTCTCTGTCTGGGTGAAAAGTTCTGTCGTGAATGGCTTTCTGCCACGAGCAGCTCCACCGGCACAATACAGGACGTATGGGGCACCTCCATCACCCCCACTTGCCCTAGTTTGATTTTTACACCTGCCCCTTGCCCCACCTTGTACAACCAGATGGTGGGTGGGGCTTAACTAAGGCTTATTTTTGGGGTAGGGCTTAATTTAGGTGCAGGTGTGAAAATCCGGCTAGAGCTTTTTTTCAGGGTAGGTCGTAATTTTGGAGAAATATGGTAGTAACGTTCAATCAATGTGGACAATAGCAAGGGATTGTATGAGGGACATGTTACTTACAACACCATTTCTCCCCAGTGGTATCTATCCATCCTGTTGGATCCAGCAGGAGTAGAAGCTGCTCCAGGTCCTTTCTGTGACAGAATGTTAGCTTGTGGGACCCAGGAGGATGGCCTTTTCTGTCACAGTGCTCACCTCTAGAACATCATCTCTTTGGAGAACAAACTCATTCTGACCTTTGGTGTTTTGCAAGGCCTTAAATACCTGGCATCCTCAGGGTGAGCTATATTGATTGGGGATGACTGATCAAGGCTGTGTGCATACTTGGATAACTCATCTTTATGAATCTGGAGCCCAAAAAAGTTAACAGCCCCTTCTGACCAATAGTCAAGCAGAAAGACCATAGCAATCAGTCAATGCTCATTTGCAGGCCAATAACTGAGTGCCATATCTTCCCTGCTCAAATCTATGCATAAAGATACCAAATTCCATCTTTCCATAAAAACAAAAGAATTGCATTTTCCCATGTTGCTGCATTTCTTATGGCAAAAAACAAAAAAAAAAAAAACCAAACCCCACCTTCTCTGCCTAACAAATTCCTAACAGTGAAGTTAAACATTCTGTTATAGTCCTTAAGTCATACTTTTTCTTTGACAAGCTTGAACCTCTGTAAATTTCTAAGCTGAGTAATGCATAGTGGACTAGAATCTGCCAGGAATGCTCCATCTTTGTTGCTTTTTAAAACTTATTTGGAAAAAGCTACTTTGTTGAGGCAACTTTGCCTTTGTCTTCAACATAAATGGTTGCACACTCATATTCGAACCTTTTTTCTTGTTAAATATGCTTTTGTTTATTTCTTATCGGAGGAAGAAAGATCAAAATCCCCAGGTCAGCTGTATTGCTAAAGCTGGGGTGGCAAGTAATTTGTATTTGAGCTCCTTTCCCTCATCATGCTACCAAAGGGAAATTCAAGAATGAACCAAGAAGTTTGGTTCCAGTAAGATTGTAGCTCACATAGTCAAGCAAAAGGCAGTGATAGGCTGTCATTTATAAAACGATATTTGCTGCTTTGAAACTACATTTTAATGGGGGCAATTGGAACCTTGTTTAAACCAAGTTAATGGCCTTTTAGGCTTCCTCCTGTGAGTAGGAATTCACTTTTTGAATAATAAGAATTATATGTTGGGGGGTGGGAGCATCAGGCTATTCAAGATGCTTAGGTGGAGCATGGCCAAAAAAAGAACTACTGGTTTAAGCCATATAAAATGTGATTGGCTCACTTAGTCACAGGCATTATGCCTTCACTTGGAAGACCTCATCTGTTAGCATTATAAATTTGGTGTGGAACAAGCATTACCAATCTTAAATTCTGAACTTATTCAGTACAGTAATAATGAGCACCTTTTACTGAATAAATTACAAAAGCTAATTCTCATTTTATTATTCTCACACTCATATTAGCTGAGTGGCATGTTTTTGAGGAAGATTTACATAGAAGTTCCTCACACATTAGAACAATAGTGATAAGAGAATAGTCTAACTTCTTTACCAAAATCAAGGCTAAAATGTAGTCCAGTCAGGTTTCCAAAAGTGAAGCTGTTCTGAAGTACTTTACCTTTTTTGCTGTTTGAGTGGCTTCTACAGCAATATCAACTCCAGAATTCCCCATGCCAATCACAAGTACCTTTTTATCTCTGAATACCTCTGGGGTTTTGTATTCCCGGCTGTGAAAATAATGACCATTAAACTTTTCTAAATCTGTGGGGAAACAAAGACAAATCCAATGAACTTTCAAATAAAACTTATAATAAATAATAGCAGATTCCATCTTGATTGCAATGGTGGCATTTATATAGAGCAACCCTAATATGCAAAGTTCTTTACATGTATTATCCCAGTCACCCTTACGTGAGCCCAACAAAGTATACTGTAGCCTATTATTGGTGAGAAATCTAAACTGTAGCTTGCTAACTAGATACTATCTAAGAAATTCATAAAGCACTTTCCTCAATATTCCTGTAAGAAAAACAAAGATGAATAGCATTTGGGGGAATTTTAAGGGTTGATGATATTCCTTCATTTGATGACCATATCTGAGTTTCATAAAACAATATTCAACAATATGTTTCTGGAATAGAGTTGATGCTAACAGTCTTTGCTGGACACTGTCACATAAATTATCTTATAGTTTTCCATTGCTGTTCTCTGCTGTAAGCTAATTCTGTTTGTTTTTTGTGAAGTTTTTTTAGAAGTGGGCAAAAGGTCAACCTTTGTAGCCATAGATGTCTTTGTTTTTTGTGAAGAGTATTGGCCTACCTACAGCTTGGTCACCCAGAAAAACTATTATCTAATTCTAAAGTAGACAACAGTGGTGGGTTGCTCCTGGTTCGGCTTGGTTCGGCCGAGCCAGTAGTGGTGACGATGTGACGTCACCGAACCGGTTCTCTTTGACTGGGAGCTGGGCCTTCCTGCCCACCCCCGCATTATTCCTACTTTTATTTCTTGTTTTTTAGCCCAGCTGATAGGCGCGGCAGAGTGGCATGCCGCATCTCAGCTGGCCTAGAAACCTAACGCGCTTGTTCGGTGATCACACGCAAAGCACGTGCGTGAAGAGAACCAGTGGTAACACTGGTTGGAATCCACCCCTGATAGACAAATATTTTAATTGTTCTCAAGCTTCAGTTCCTATCAGTTGCAGTATGACCAAGATGAAAATTGGTAGGATTAACAATTGATCAACATTTGGAAGGCCACAAGTTGTCTGTGCCAGTTCTTAAGCAAGACAGCATAATTAGGATGACTTAATTTTTAAAGAGATCCTGCTTTGTAAATTTAAAGCAATAATTCAATAAATAAATTCAATAAAGACTTTTGTAAAAACAGAGTAAAAACTAAACTGGCAGAAATGAAGCCATCTCATTATAAAGAGTACAAGCTTACAGGGAAACCAGAGCCAAAGATAATGATGAAGATGTAAAACGGGATACAGCAAGGCTCTCTAATAATGCTTGACTTTCTTATATTTTTAAGAAATTGTTTTGTTGATGTCCATTATGTATCAATATACTTAAATACATTGTAACTGGACTTCCGGTTGGTGAGCTGCGGCGATATGGTGCTGAGTGAGTGATCGCTACTCCTCAACACCGCCTGTCACCACGTTTTGGGGATCCCTTCGGGGGCGCGGGACCTGGAGAGCCCCGCGGACAATAGAGGGAGTCCGGCGAGCGAGAAAGTGAAGCGCAAGCACTTCTCGCAAATCCGGGCGGCTCTGTCAAACCAGCGTGAGTGAGTCAGCCTTTTAATGGCTGACTTGAAGCTGTGGGGAGCTGACAACTAGAAGGAAGCAAGGAAGATCGGAGGTGGCAGTGGCGTGATCGAAACCTGCTTTCCCTGCCTATGTGGATTTAAACATCAAAAAGGGGTCGGCGTAGACGAGAGCGAGGGGCTCAGAGTGGAAACGAGCGGCGCTGGAGATCAAAGAGCAGTTTGCCAAGGCACAGAGCTCGTCTAGCCGGCGCAGAAAAGGAAAGTCTGAGGGCGCTGAAACTGTCTGCGTAAAAAGAGGTTTGGTGGAGCAAGGAACACATAAGAACTCAGGAAAATTTTGTTCCTCATTTGCTGGCCATAGTGGGAAGGTGAATTAAGCTGAAGATCGGATCTTACTTGCCTGTATCGGAGAACAGGAAGTGCAGCCATTAAAGAAGCCTGACAGAGCAAAAGCTGAAAAGGACAGGCATAGAGACAATCTAGCTGCGAGATTTATCATAGAGCTTTGGCTGTGGCTAAGGAAGAATTGGAGGAGATTGGAGGAGATTGATGACTGAGTGAAAAAAAAAAATCAAAATCAAAAAAATTTATCTTTGTGGAAAATACCATTTGTCCCTTATTGTATCTTGATAGCCTTCCTCTTTAATCTTTTTACTTTTTATAACGCTGTCCTCAACCCCCTGACCTTCTACATAGTAATAGTGTCATTAATAAGAATTGTTAATTTTTAGGCTATTTAAGTCTTGACTTGACTTGCTTATAAGATATACTAGTATACAGTGTTATTTGATTTGCATTCATTTAATTAATTATCTAAATATACTCACTTGTATCTATAGTAACTTTACATATTTTATATATCAACTTATTAATATTTAGTAATATAAGAATTTCAGTATTTTCTTGGTCTAGATATATATAATATACTCTCAAGCTATGATATTTTAAATCTGCTATTTATATTCCGCTGCTTAGCATTTACAGTATTTATTAGTATTTTTATAGTATTTAAAATTGTAATTGTATTTAAAATCAAGTATTCATAAATTTCCATTTACAGTATTTATAGTACTATAAGCATTTAAAAGTACAATATTTAGCCAAATTAATTGCTATATCGATACATTGATTGTGACTTGTTGATTAACTGATATATTGATTGTATAGTATTGAACTGTTTAACCCATATCTATTAAGCTGGTTATACTTGTTTATAAATTTAGAAGGAAAAATTAGATTTAGGAATATATATATATAAATATATACTTAAAAAAAAAAAAGATAATAGAGGCGCTAACTGGCGAATGAGAATTTGGAGTAACATCGACAGGATAATTAGAGAGCAAAAGAAAATTTTGAAAGAAATGACAAGTATGTCACTCACAGCGGGGAAAACAGGAAAAAAGACTCCCTCTAATCCCACTATAACGACAACCTCTCCGGCGACACTAAAATCAACAGAAAGCCTGGCAATGCAAACTCTGCAAGCATCATTAACCTTGATCCAAGAAACGATGATGGCAATGCAGGAAAAACTGTTAAATAACCATGCCGAATTAAAATCAGACATACATGCATTGGACCAGAAAATGAATGAAATCCAAACATCAATAGTCAATAATGAACAACGAATTCAAAAAGCTGAAACAAGAATTGACCAAACTGAAAAGAAATTAGATATTGTGGATCAAACATTAACAAGCCAAAATAAAGAGTTAGAAGACTCAATAATCTAACTGGAGATGGACCAGGCTTCCTTCTATTTGCGATTTCAGAATGTTGTCGAGGACAAAGAGGAAGACCTAGGTGAAAAGATGGCTGAGCTGATAGCGGATGCACTTCACCAAGACAAACAGGCGATAATCAGGGAACTGGACGACGTATACAGGGTCCAGACCAACTACGCAAGAAGGAACAAGCTCCCTAGAGAAGTACATATCCGCTTCGCACGGAAAAAAGTTAAAGATATTCTATACAACATGGCAAGAGACGAACAGATAACATATCGAGGAAAAGAAATAATAATTCTAAAACAGATACCAAGAAGAGTTCGGGAGATGAGGAAGGGATACAGATTTCTAGCCATACAGTTGAATAAAAGAAAGATACTATTCAGGTGGCTTCTCCCAGAAGGGATGCTAATAACCTGGCAAGGAAGAAAAATCAAAATAGAAAGCCTGAGTACAGCACAAGATTTCCTTGATCAGTTGAGAGGTGTGGAAGAAGAGCAGGGTAGCAAGGAAGAACTAGAAACAGCAGTAGTGGAGGAGGAAGCCCCACACCAACAGAATACGAACGAAGCAACTGCAGAGGAGAAGACAGAAGAAGAAGAAGAAGCCAAAGAGAAGAAAACAAGACCAGTAAGGGCCGTAAGAAACAAACAAGAACCTATAATCAGATAGAGGTATAGAGATGAATGACCTGAAGTTAATATCCGTAAATGTCAATGGACTAAATGATTACAAAAAGAGGAAAAGAATATTAACAAAATTAGGCAAACAAAATGTTGATATAATGTGTTTACAAGAGGTACACATAAAAAAAGAAGAGAGTAAATGTTTAGAATATAAAAAATTCGGTCAAACATTCGATTCGCTAGCAGAGAAAAAGAAGAGGGGGGTGGTAATTTACGTAAAAAAAGGAATTGAAGCAGAATTGAAATTCAAAGATACAAAAGGTAGAATCCTCATGATTGAAATTAAGAGAGGGAATTCCAAGGTATTATTAGTGGGCATTTATGCCCCAAATAAAAAACAGGGAGAATTTTTTAAGAAACTCCATGAACAATTAGTGAAAATGGCATATAACGAAATTTGTATGATAGGGGATTTTAATGGCATTGTGGATCCGGAGAAGGACCACAAGAGCAATAAAGAAAAAAAAAATAAAAGGACAAATTTACCGAGAGCCTTTTTCGAGTTAGTCGATGAATTAGATTTAATTGACATTTGGCATACCTTGCATCCAAACGATAGGCAATATACCTTCTTTTCAAATGCACAAAAGTCATGGTCCAGAATTGACATGGCATGGGTTAGTAGGAATTTGGGGTTAGAAATTGGAACAGCTGTAATTAACCCAAATGACTGGGCAGATCATAATCCACTAGAAATTAGATGGAAGCTTGTTCAGAGAAAATACCAACGGAGGTGGAGGTTAAATGCTAAATTATTGGGCGACAAAGACTGTATACAAAAATTCAAAGAAGAAATAAACCTCTTTTTTAAGGAAAATGAAAACAAAGGCACATCCCGCGCAATAGTGTGGGATACAATGAAGGCCTATCTGAGAGGAGTCGCGATTTCATATACTGCACATAAAAATAAAGAAGAAAGGAAGATCCTGGAAGACTATTTAAATCATATAGGAGAATCAGAAAGAAAACTCCAAGATAACCCAGGAGATGAAGCTGCCAAAGAAAATTGGATGATGTGGAAGCATAAAGTAAATATCATGGAGCAAGAAGAGCTGGCACAAAGAATGAAAAG